TTCTTTTTTTTTTTTTTTTTTTTTTTGGTGTTTCCAGTGGTTTACCCTTTCTGTCACCAGTTAACTCCCCATCTTCCAGGGAAAACAAGCTTCTACAGAGAACAGGTCCAAGGATTTCACCTTGCCACCTTGTTTTTGCCAAAGACTGATGCTTCTTTATCAAAGGACATTTTGCTGTTCATTTGTGGAAGCATGCTGCAGAGAATGGAAATTATTTAGATTGATTTGACACCCCTTCCTTCTGATTTAGTGATTTATTTAAACCCACAGCTCTCAGATTGGGGCTTGAGTTCATAGGGATGACAGCAATGTTCTGTGCAAGTCCCAGAGAAGGATGTGGGGACACTCCAGGGAAACATCATACTTAGGTAATGTACCCTACCAGCCTGCTTCTGGAATCCTCTAAGTCCACAGCTTCACAGAGCCACTTTGTGCTTGGGGAGGGGATGATAAAGAAGGAACTTAGCATTTGTTCAGTAAGAAAGTCAGGAATGAAAAAGCCCCAAAGCATATCTTTAGTTTCAAACTAATATAAGTGGTGTCTTCTTTGGTTTCTTTCAGCTTTAACATTTGGTAGATCTAATTTGAAGTTCCAGAGAGGAAAAGGCAAAGGAGATAGAAGTATGGGTAAGCAGGACATGGTGGTGCACACCTGTTGTCCCAGCATTCAGGAGGCTGAAGCAGGAGAATTGTTGTGACTATCTAGCCAGACCCTGTCTCCAAAAAGGGGGTAGGGTGGGGATTTAGCTCAGAGGCACTGTTCCTGCCTTGCAAGTGCAAGGTCCTGAGTTTGATCACCAGTACTGAAAAAAAAAAGAAGATGGGTAAACAGTTGATAACCAGGGAGCTGAGATAGTGTTAGGAGGAAGCCATTTAATGTCAGAAGCAGTAAGTAGGACTTTTAGGCAGCTAGTGGGAGGAGCTCATTCAGTCATTCTTAGATACACATCTCCTTCCCTGTCATCTAGGATCATGGCCTGTCTGTCCCCAGTTTCTGCCTCACCCCACAGCTTTCTAGAGTCTCGTTTGTCCCTTGTGTAGGCATATAGCCAACTGAGCCCTGCACTGCACGTTATTCAACAACAAATATTTACTGAGTACCTAGCAAAGGCCAGGAATTGCTTTGTGTGGTTGCGATGCATCTATAAACACAATGGACCAGTGCCTTGTCCTTATGGGGCTTACATTATAGAGGAGGGAGACAGAAAGTACACAATAAACACCGTATATCAGAAGTTAATGACTACTATGGAAAAGGAACAAACAGCTGGGAAAGGGGATCAGGAGTGTCAGTATGGGTGGTGCGGTTGGAGTAGGCTTCATTAGCAAGTCTGAGCAAAGGCTTGCAAGGGTGAGCCTGGTGTGTGGATACTGGGTAAAACTGTTCCAGGAAGAGTAAAGCAAAGTTTAATGGTCTTAAGAAAGAGGATGAGGGCTGGAGATTTAGCTCAGTGGCACTCTACCTGCCTTGCAAGGTCATGAGTTTGATCCTCAGTACCAAAAAAAAAAAAAAAGAAAGGAAGGAAGGAAGGATGACTACTGGCTTGTTTCAGGAGCCCCAGGAGGCCAGGGAGTATGGAGTAGGAGGAATGAATAGAACTATGGTCGGAGAAGCACAAGAGCATAGGGGTCAAAAGCAGCTACAGCCTTGTTGACCATTATAAGACTCTGGTGATATGCAAAGTTGGAGCACAGTTTTGGGCAGAAGTGGCATGATCTTACACTTTAAATTAATCTCTCTGGCTACTGTATTGAGAATTGATTATAAGGAAATAAGAGCTGATATGGACTAATGACACGGCTAAAAGTCATGGGGCCAATTTTGTTTCTTTTTATAACTGTTAGCTTTACCCAAACACCCAGATCCTGCATACTCTAGACCCGGGCCTCCAATGAGGGCCTCACTGGACTCTGGCCACTGGCAGACTTGGTTCCTCAGCACCCAGAACACCTCAGGGGGACTGAAGTCCCCCCATGAGATATGTGGAATCTGAACAGCTCTCATCACCTCCATTGCTATCACTCTGTCTGAGGAATCCAGGAACTTAACCTGAGCCACTAGAAGTAAAGGGTTACCATTTACTGAGACATGGAAGACTGTGAGAAGAGCAGATTTTGAAAGAAAAATGAGCTGCATTTTAGGAATGTTGAATTGAGATATCTATTAGATATTCAAATAGAGCAATCAGGTAGTACAACACGTGAATTGTAGTTTGTGAGAAAGATCTGGCTGTAGACAAAAATTTGATAGTGTAAGAAAAGAGATCAAGAACCTTGTGGGATCTGGGAGAACAAGAGGAACCAGCAAGCAGACAGAGGAGAGAAAATCAATGAAAACTAAGAGCAGTAAGTGTTTTGAAAAGCCAAGTAAAGAAATTATATCAGTAAGAAAGTGGACTTTAGGGCTCCCTGGTCTACATATGGATCCCCTTTGGTCTCTGTCCCACCCCCGACCCCTTCCCCACTTCCAGGGCCAGTCAGTGTAGACTCTGTGCTCTGGCAGGCCACCTTGTACTCAGAGAGGCAGAGAGGAGCACAGTTGACCACTGCAGTTAAGCATCAGTTTCGTGTGTTGGGATAGAGCAAGCTGCGCAGATGTGGGAGAAGCTTGAGCTGGGCTGAAAACTACTCTTTTTTTTGTTCTGGGGACTGAACCCAAGGCCTTTTACTTACTAGACAAGCACTCTTCCACTGAGCTACATCTTCATCCCTCTGATCATTAATTCTATTTTTTCTCTTTTATTTTGGATAGTTTCTACTATAGTTTAAGCTATATATATCTATATATCTATATCTATATATCTATCTATATATATATCTATATATATATATATAGATATATATATAGATATATAGATCTATCTATATGTCCCCACCAAGAGATGGAGTCTCTCTATGTTGTCCAGGATGCTCTCAAACTTCTGAGCTCATGTGATTCTTCTGTCTCAGCCTCCTGAGTAGTTGGGACCACAGGCATATGCCCTTCTTCCTGGAAAATCCACTAATCTCTGCTCCAACCTTTTTTTGGAGGGTGGTGCCACAGATCAAACCCAGGTCTTTGGTCATGGTAAGCATGTGCTGTACCACTAAGATACACATGCCCAGGCCCAAGCCAGCCCCTCCACTAATCTTTTCTTCTTTATACCTGTGGCATCAATCCTATCTAATGTTTTTTTTTTTTATTTCACACATTGCAGTTTTATTGCTAGAAGTTTTATTTGGGTCTTTTTCAGCATCTTTCATGTCTTTAACTTTTTGTATATGTAACATAATTACAATAACTTTTTAAATGTCTTCCTCTGCTATTTCTAACATCTGTGTAAGTTATGGGTCAAACTCGATTGATTTATATACTTTAGAGTAGTATTTTTCTACCTTTATTTGGTAATTTTTTATTGGATTCCAGTCTTGGTGAAATTTTTGCTTTATTGGTTGCAAGGTATATAGTTTTCTATTTCTACAAATATCCACCCCCCCAACCCAACCCCCATTTGTCAATACTGAGATTGAACGTAGAGAGCTCTGAGCAACGTCCCAACCTTTTTTATTTTTTAATTTTGATACAGAGTCTTGCTAAGTTGCCCAGGCTGGCCATGAAGTTGCTCAGCCTCCCAAGTGCCTGGGATTACAAAAATATTTCTTTAAATATTCTTGAGCTATATTATGGAATCAGTGAGGGCTCTTAATCCTTTTGCATTTTTGCAGTCAGGACTGGAGTTGTGTTCAGCTTAGGGCTAACTATCTTCCATTTCGACAGGAATGCTTTTCTGCATACTCTACCCAATGTTGGGCAAATCTTGAGATTATTTAGCCTTGTTTCCTGGCACATACACTGTATGAGCAGAATTATTTTTAATCTTTTTGAGTAGTTCTTTCCCTATGTCAGTTTCTTTTCTCACATATATGTGTTGATCAGCCCTCAGTTGAAAGTTTGAGAGACTATGCAGATGTCTGGGCTTTCCTCTCTGTGAAGTTTCCTATTATCTGGATTCTTCTCTGATAGCAGATGGAGATCCATGGTAGATAAAACACCAGCATTTTGGACATCCATAGTCTTGTCTCAGCCAATGAATATGAAAACAAAAACAGAAAGATGACTAAACACAAAGGTTACTAAAGAGAAATCTGACTTCAACTTGCCGAAAGTCCCTGCCTGACATTAAGAGCAATACTTTCTGGGCTGGGGATTTGTCTCAGTGCTTCTGCCACCTGCCTTGCAAGCTCAAGGACCTGAGTTCTATCCCCGGTACCAAAAAAAAAAAAAAAAAAAAAAAAAAAAAAAAAAAAAAAAGAGCAATACTTTCTTTGAAAATAATTATGGGCAATAGGCTGTGCTAATGGTCCTGGATATTAACCATTCAGTGTCATCCATGACGTTGTTTTTTAGTAGTACATATTTCATGTTCATTGGAGAGCAAACCTTAGTAGGTATAGATTGAAACTGCACAGTGAAAAAAGGCGTGGGATGCACAGCTCCTAGGTAACTCGGTAACTCTAGATCCCAGCAGTGGTTCCAGATATCTAGATAGATGTCTCCTGCAGTTTTTCATGCTCCCCACTCCCGGAACTCTGATAGGCAGTGTGGATGGTAATGGACCACCACCAGAAGTTTAAGTGAACTATGAAGAAGATGTTTCCCAGCAGATGATAGCTTGTGTTCTACCCACAGGTGCCTTTTTTATCCCCTATCTCATCTTCCTCTTCACCTGTGGCATTCCTCTCTTCTTCCTGGAGACAGCACTGGGCCAGTACACGAGCCAGGGGGGCATCACAGCCTGGAGGAAGATCTGCCCTATCTTTGAGGGTGAGTGACTCTGTGGCTGATTCCAGGGTATTTTCACTAGTGCTTATAAACCTTACTCGGGATAAGTGAGTGGTGAGCAGCAGTTCTGAGATTAAAATAAAACTCTGAGTCTCTATGGTAAACCTTTGGTTTATGGGCTGAATACAGAGGGAGGCACCTGGCCTATCAGAGGATGAAGGAGAAATAGGGATGAGGATGTGCAAAGGCTTTAGGTTAAATAAGCAGTGTGCAAGGCTAGCTTAGATATATTTAGTTATTATTACAACGATTTTATGTTTTTAAAGTCATTCAACCAATTACGAAACATTTAAAAATAATTTTAAATGAGAAAAAATATTTCATTAAAAGTTCTACCATCTTGACCCAATAACTTTAAAATTTATGGTGTTTCATTGTTTCACTGTATAGAATTTTCTCCAAATTTTTATTTTGAAATAATTGCAGATTTACAGGAAGTTACAAAAATAATACGAAGAAGTCCTGTGTGTCCTTTATTTAGTTTTTCCCCATTGGTAACATTTTATATAACTATAGTATAATGGCAAAGTCTGGATATTGGCATGGTGCTATCCATAGATTTTATTCAGAGTTTGGCAATTTCCTGTGCTCTCATTAGTGTACGGTGTGGATAATCCTGTGTAATTTTGTAAGATATGTAGATCTGGATAGTCACTGCCACTTATCAAGAAACCCACTGTTGCATCACTATACAGGTCTCCTTCAACCTACCCTTTATCATCACATTCACCCTACCCATCCCTGACCTTTGGCAACCTCTATTAAGTTATCTATCTATACTTTTGTCATTTTGAGACTGTCATATAAATGCACTCATGCAGGATGTAACCATTTGTAGTTGGTTTTTTGCTCAGCACAATGTCCTTCATATCCATCAGTCTATTCAGTTTGTTTCATACATCAGTAACAGCTCACTGATTTCCACTCGATGAGTACGATGTACCACAGATTGTTTAATCATTTATTCATTGAGGAGCATTTGAGCTGTTTCCAGTTTTGGAGGATTTCAAACCTTTCTCTTTCTATGGAGTTTATAATCTATTAATATGAAATATGCACAGTTTATTTTCTTTTTCAGTTAATTTTATTTTCCATTTCTCCATGATACTCATCTAATGATTTATAAATTTCCATCAGTAGGTATATCAAAATTGACTTAATAGGTCTCTGAATCTTTTTTATTATTTTCTCTTGGTTGTAAATTTTTAATATTCTGCTATCATGTATATTTGTTTAGATAATTTCCCTACCTTTGGAGTTATTTCTTTGGGAAAAATTGCTAGGATTAATAATACTGGATGCAAATGGATAATCAACTTAGCATCCCTTGATCTGGTTTATTACATTGTATTAATGACACAGACAGTGACAATGACACCAGGTGTGAGTAGTCATCTTTTTCTGTATCTTGGATTCTATTGGTGGTTCTCAAACTTTGTTCATTGAGCTCACCTAAGGACCTTTGATGTGACCTTCTGTGGCCCATGCTACATCTTCAGAGGTTGTGATTTAAGTGGTCTGAGGTCTAGTCTAGGTTTTGGAATATTGTAAAATTCCTGGGCCATTCTGATATGCAGGCAGCATGGAAGCCCCTGAGTTACACCCATTGTAAAAACTTCACTAAGGTTGTAACCACAGAATGGTGTCTCATCACTATGTCATTTTACACACCAGTAATTAAAAAGGATGAATATTATATTTTAAAAGTGTTCATTCATGATTTGCATTTCCTCCTTTGCAAATTGTCTCTGATCTTGTGGTTTTATGTTTCAGAAACATATGAGACTAATTCTGGGAATCATTGATTATTGGTATTATGGAGCATTTAAAAAATAACTCTGAATCAGTGACCTTTCAGAACCTGATGGAGATGAGACAGCACAGGAAGGGGCCAAGAGAAACAGAAAGCAAGAGAGAAGCCCTCATATGGTCTGGGAACAAGGGCCACAGCATTTCTCACTGTAGGACAGCAGAGAACAAGCCCTTCCCTAACCACTAGGGTCAGTGTGGGAAATCTGTGCCATGTCCCCAGCTCAATTCTGCAGTTTCCCTCCAGGCATCGGCTATGCCTCCCAGGTGATTGTCATGCTCCTCAACATCTACTACATCATCGTCCTGGCCTGGGCCTTCTTCTACCTCTTCAGCAGCTTCACCACTGACCTGCCCTGGGGAAGCTGCCACCATGAGTGGAACACAGGTGAGGTCACATTAGAGAGCCACTTCCTCAGCTTGCCCTGACACATAAGCAGGAATGGGAGTGCCCTTCTGTCCCAAGAAACCCATTCCCCAGACTTAACTTATAGAAATTGGCCAAGTAGATCATGGAGAACTCACCTCAAGAATAAGAGCAAGGAGGGGCCGGGGATTTAGCTCAGTGGTTCCGCCACCTACCTCGCAAGTGCAAGGTCCCGAGTTCGATCCCCAGTATCCTCCTGCCAAAGAGAATGAGGAGCTGTAGAGTGCTTGTCTTGCACAAGTGTGAGGCCATAGGTTTGATCCCCGCACAATAACAAGTAAAAAAGTAAGAAGTCGCCACTATCACAAATGTCACAGGCTGTTTTCTTTTAGAAATAAATTGATGTATTCAATTCATATATTATGCCAATCGAACTAATTTTTAAATTTCAATTTGAAATATGACTAGTTTGATATATGTGCCTATTATTTGTTCATTTATTTGTTTCTCATGTCTTCTTTTTGATACTATTTTAGGTCTTTCAATTTTATAATTTATCTGGGCTTGACAAGGGAATTTACTGTTTTGTATGTCATCAATATAATTTATAACAGCAATTAACTTCTTCTGTGCTCGTAATACTGTGTGGGCCATGGACAGCAATAGAGCCATTTAATCTAATATATTGAAAGTGCTGACAACAAAAATATCTAGGTTGGCTCTGTCCAAAGAGTTGTCTATGAGGATGACTGTGTTCTCTGTATGTCCAGTAGTGGCTACTGAGCAACCTGACAGGTGGCTACTGCATCTGAGGGACAAAATTTAAAAATTTTTACTTAATTTTAATTTAAATTCCCACATGAGCTCATGACTACCCTATAGGATAGCATGGATGAAAAGCATGTTGGTCACTATTCTGTTTGGATTCTCATAACTACATCTTGCTATAATTGTCTAAATATCTTTTGGTGCTTGTCCATAGATCTACTGCTTTGAAGCAGGAATAGCTAGATATGTTACTGAGTTCTGAACTAGATTTTGAATCCTTTACTTGCCAGGGAAAATGTTTTTACAGGGCTTAGCCTTTGTGCCTTTTACTTGGCCATACCTCTCCCTCCCCTTCCCTGTACAATTGCCTCCCCATGGCCCCTGCTTCTTCTCTGGGTTCTACTTTGCCCTCCCTGGCACCCTGCATCACACCATCCTGTTCTAGGTAAAGAGTCAAAACTGGGTGGCACCTCCACCCAGGTTTGCACTAGGCTCCTTTCCGGTGTGCCTGGCCATACCTATATTGATCCCAGCCTTGAGGTGGCACTCACTGAACTTTCTATTTATTGAGTTATACAGTTATTGATTTTATACAAGTTGGTAAGATCTTGATGCAGAAAAGGCTCTGTCAGCTACCTCATATGCTTTCAAAAAACATTTGTTGAATGAAAGATTTAAAAATCTATTCTACTCTAATATGTTTCATATATGTTTTTGCTTTTTTGTTTATATCCGTGTGCACTGAGTCACCCCTGACAACCAGCTTGTCAGTAGTGATTGTTTTATCCAGATCCCAGTAAAGTGACTGATGAAATCTGATGAAGCTATAGCTTTGGGTTAGGGCAGGATTGGACTATCCACATTTGGGTTGGCTGGAAGTCTTTGAAACAATTCTGAGGCAAATTTCATGCCTAAATCTTTTGCTTTTGAATATTTTTGTCACCGTCTAGTGGGCCTGGTTTTGCTCAGAGCCTAGCATCTTGAATAGTATAGGCTATCTTGTCCTGTCACGATCAAATGACAGTTTTCTTCCAGGAAGGTGGTATGGTTTAGTGGCAAGACCCCTTTACTGGCTTTCAACCTTTCAGCAGGTGTTTATTGAGGTCCTGTTCTGCCAGGCTCTGTTCTAAGCACTGGGGATATGTTAATACACAAAAACAAAGATCCCTACCCTTCTGGAACCGTTATTCTAGCAGCTGAGACAGACCATGAACAAATTAAAAGAGTAATATATGTCATGATAGAAAGACATATGTATTCTGTTAGAAATGCAATGGAGAAAAATAAAACAGGGTGAGGCTCAGGAGTTTTAGTGGTGGGGTATGATTTTAAATAGGGTATTTAGGAAAGGCCTTATTGTGATGACTTTGAAAAATGATTGAACAACAAGGGGGAACAAGAACTCAGTAACTTATCTAGCTACCAAGGAGATGAACATTCTAATAGAGGAATAGCAAGTGCTACCGTCCTGAGATGCTCTGGGTCCAAAGTATGTAGGGAACAGGAAGGAGGCCAGTGTGGCTAGAAAAGAGGAAGGAGGAATTGAGGTTAGAGGTGTTGGAGGATAAGGCCTTTAAGGTGGCTGAAGGGGTTTTGGGATGGGAAACTCATTGAATGTTTGAGATGGGATGTGACATAAAGTAATATAAGGTTTAATAAAATCGCCCTGGCTACTCAATAGAGATCTGACAGAGGAAGAAAGGGTAGAAACTGGAGGCCACTTAGGAGCTGAGAGATGATGGTGACCTGCACCAGTATGGTGACGGAGGTCAGAGTCTTGGTGTTTTGAGGTAGCATCTACACAGCTTGTTGACCTGGATTCTGGGTTGTACTGTTACTTATGAGCTGTAATAGATCATTTCTAGGAAGATTCATTTTCTTCATATGTATATTAGAGAAAATAGTATCTGTCTTAATACTTCCCAGGGTTATTATGCTGATAAAATATTTAAAAGAATGTCAACACTCTATGTGGCACTCCACAGTGACACATAAAATGAAGATCCATCACTTATCAGGCACTTCACATTTATGTTTCCATCTTAGTTACTTTTCTCATTGCTGAGATAAAATACCTAAAACCCAAAGTAGAAGGAGAAAAGGTTTATTTCAGCTCAAATTTGTAGAGGTTTCAGTCTATTTGGCTGGCTCCAAGGCAGGGTGGCATGGCAGAGGGGCATCACAGAGGAGCAACAGTTTATGGCAAGCAGAAGACACCAAAAGCAAGTGACCAGCAGTGAGCGACAAGAGAGTACTTAGTCCTCTTTCTTTCCCTTATATTTTCTCCACCCAGGGTGGGGTACCTTTAATCCTATCCAAAACTAGGCCAAACCCGTCAGTGGACTGATTTAGTAATCACACACCCTTACTCCCAGAATCACAACTCTAGACCCAGCCACCTCTGGAAACGCCCCCATCTATGACCACATGAGGCTTGAGGGGATTTCTAGACACAAGCCATAATGCCATCTAACCCCCTATCGATCCTATGTGATAAATGGTGGCGTCTACATTTTAGAGATCAGTGAAATGACACTTACTGTGTCAAGTGGTCACTTACCTAAGGTCATACATTTGGTATCCAGAGGGTGAGGATCTGAGCCAGAGTGCTCTGGCCTTGGGCTGGAGCTCTTGGCCACTCTGCGGCATCACTTCCTCGAAGGCATTTCACTGTTCCCCAAGTTTGTGACTTCTCACAGTGTCCTGCAAAAGTTTGCTTACTTGGAAGCAGCTGACATATGCAGATCTTCCCTAGCACATCTGATCACACTTTAGTGAGAATATACATACAAACAGCCCACAGTATGTTTGTGTGGGGAGGTGAGGTGGGTCTGCTAAGGTCAGCGCACATGGGAGGAGGGCTTGCACAGACAGACACCAGCTGAGCTCCTTCTTGATGCTTCCCTTCCATTCTCCTAATACCCTACCTTTCCCAGTTGAGGTGAATGTTGGCTGATGTCTTTCGTTTTCTTCTTCCCTGGGATCTACGAGCAGAGAACTGTGTGGAGTTCCAGAAGACCAATGGCTCCATGAATGTGACCTCTGAGAACGCCACCTCCCCTGTCATCGAGTTCTGGGAGTGAGTGAGGCCCTCTTTCCTTCCAACTGTGGGCTGTGTGTTCCAAAAAGGGTGAGGGATGGGGTTCCCAGTGGGCCCAAGGGGAATTTCTGTTTCCTTCTATCCCAGCCTGCACTTGAGTGTTCCGTTGTGCTTCCTATGTGGTTAGTACAGGGCTGGCTTCGGGGATCATTTCCCTTGGGTTGGGCAGCTCTCTCTTTACATTAGAGAGTACACCTGTGTGTGCATCTACACTCCCAGCCACCCTCCTCTCTTCTGCTGCTCTGTTGCCTCTTGTGTGGCCCCTCCATTCCACATATCAAAATGTCCCAATAGCTTGGCTGGGAGAATGGATATTTGTACCTCCTTCCCCATGCCAGACTAGGTCTCAGAGCAAATTCACCTGTACAGCTTATGTTTGCCAACTTTTACATCTAACTTCATTCCTGAGCAAAGGAAGCCCCACAGATCCAAGGGTAAACATCTGACAAGGCTTAGACAAGAGTAGACTGGAGGCTGGTGGGCTACTATACTGGGGCTCAGGGCTGGGGTAAGTATCCATGATAGAGCACTTGTCTACCATGTGTGAGGAGGCCTTGGTTTCCATCCCGGCACTGCAGAAAGAGAGAGGAAGAAAGGAAGGAAGGAAAGAAGGAAGGAAGACCTGAGGCTGGTAGCCAAAGTAGAGCCAGGCCTGATGCTTCTTTCCCCAGGAGGCGGGTCCTAAAGATCTCTGATGGCATCGAGCACCTGGGGGACCTGCGCTGGGAGCTGACCCTGTGCCTCCTACTCGCCTGGATTATCTGCTACTTCTGCATCTGGAAGGGGGTCAAGTCCACAGGCAAGGTCTGTCCAGAGAACTTCCAGGAGTTCCCTTAGTGTCGGCCTAGTGAGGGGAATGACCCTGCAAGATTTTAGGTGGCTCTCTTCCTTGATCCTGTGCCTTTCCTGGATTTGATCCCACATATTTCTCAGAAATAAAATGGGACAGACAAAGGCAGGAAGTACACCTACAGAGGAATTTGACCTTGTAATATACCATGCACGTGAGCGCAGTACAGCTTGAACACAGGTGGTGCCTCCCTCTTTCACAGAACAGTTTTGTGGGTAATGAACTCCATTCATACTCTTCACCTCAGAATGACTCTCATCAACTCAAGAGTGTTGGGTCTCTTTGTCTTAGAGTGTCTGAGGTATTAGAGAGTATCTGAGCTCTTCTGGACTCAAGCCTACTGGTCTCTAATGAAGCTTCCATCTTTATCGGGCTGCCTGGTTGTGCTAAGCTCCTAAACTCTGAGGAAGAGATCACGTGTTACAGATATTTCCATAACTGACAACCCTTGCTGCAATTCCATATATTTACTAGGAAAAGGATTATGTTCATTCAGCCACTCAACAAATACTTATTGGATATGTATGGGGAGAGCTATTGTATTGAGCTGGAGGGCAGAGAGAGGAAGTTGTGGCCCCAGGCAGGAGAGATGGACTGGAACAGCTGCATGGGAAAGCGAGGAGCAGGAGAACATCCCCTAGCTCCCCCTCCCTTGGGTGGGGATAGTGTCTGCCTTCCCACCTGCTGTCTGCCATGGTCTCCGGGCCCCTCCTTTGTTTCTCACACGGCCTAACCAACTCTTCCGGACTCTTACCTGTCCCTGACTAGGTGGTGTACTTCACAGCTACATTCCCTTACCTCATGCTGGTGGTCCTGTTAATCCGAGGGGTGACACTGCCTGGGGCAGCCAAAGGAATTCAGTTCTACCTGTATCCTGACCTCACACGTCTGTGGGATCCCCAGGTAAGAAGGTACAGACCAGGGCTGTCATGGGGTCTGACGGTCCTCGAGTTCCAGGCTTTCCCTGGGCTCGGATGGGGGGTCCCCAGGGTGTCCATAGTGATGGTGAGGTGTCTTTCTTCCTGCAGACATTGGTGAGTAGTGGCATATGGACTTAGTGTGTCCACTCCTTGGGTCTGAGGCCCTAGCAATATTTCTTAGGTACTGCTAATATATCACTAAGCATGATTACTCATAGATTCTACTCATTTCCCTTCCATCTACCCACTGTCCTCATTTCTGCATTTTTTGCATTTCCTCCTGAGCCTCCTCTCTCTTTCCCATCACTCTTTGGTGCCCTCCCTCTGCCCATGTGAGCCCTTCCTTGGCCCTATGTTCCCAGTCCCTCCCTGGACCAGCTGGGTTGGTGTTAAGTTTCCTGTCAGTTGTCCAGAGGTATCTCTTCTTCTGTCACTGTACACACTCCCTCTGCCACAGCCAGCCTGGTGCAGGCAGTGCTACTTGCAGATTGGTGATGTGGAATTCAGACCCTAGTTCTGATGGATGTTTCCTCTTCTCTTCCTTGGCAACCATTCTGAAGGCTGGCAAAGCCAGTAGTGCATGGATAAGCCCCAACCGCAGGGTGTGTGACTCCACCTTGTGCCTTGCTTCTGCCTGCTGGGCAGTAAGAGGTTGTGCGCAGTCCAGATATTCCTCTTTGTTGTTGGAGGCTATCAGTTTGATGGCTTCCAAATGTTTAAGATAGTCACTGACAGCCAGGTATGGTGGTGCACATCGGTAATCCCAGCACTTTGGAAGGCTGAGGCAGGAGGATTATCAAGTTTGAGTCCAGCCTAGGTAATTGAGTGACTTAGTGAGACCCGAATTCAAAATGAAAAATGAAAAAGGACTGGGTACATAGTTCAGTGTGAAGGCCTGGGTTCATTACTCAGTACTGAAAGAAACAAAGTCACTGATGTGCTGAGAGGGAGTAAGACCAAGGAAGGGCACATAGTTGAGTTCCCCCGAGGCCCTGGGAACTCAGTTTCCACAGAAGCCATGACTTCTCTGTGGGAGAATTTCGGGGTGATCAAGAAGCTGAGCCATTCTCAAGTCTCCCAGCCTCCCCAGCACAGCTGTGTCTTCTGTTTTGACTTCAGGGACTAAGGGTTCCCAGCCACAGCCAGAGAACCCTTTAGAAACCTGTCTGTAGAATCAGCCTGGTCCTGGATGTTGCCTCTGTGGGATGAGAGCTCATCTTCCTCACTCCCATTTGCCATGTGTCACCTCCACTGCATCTGGGCTGTGGGGTCGTGTCCAGAACCGAACCAGAGCTGCTGAAGCTTACAGGACCCCACCTAGTGCAGCCTCCTCATTGCACAGAGGAGCAACCTGTGGTCCCAGAGCATTCAGCAAAGAGATGGCAGCCCTGCAAGGTATATTTTTTTTCCACAGGGTGTATTTTTGTTTCCTGAATTATAAGCCCCTTGACTTATCTGGAACCAGAAAGCTGTGCTGCATAACAGGAGGCAAGCAGAAGGGGGTGGGCAGAGGAGTCGGGGGAAGGCTTTGAAGCTCCTGAGAAGAGTCTGGCTCAGGTCTGCTATGCAGGAGGAAGCCATTGTGGCTCTGAAGTGCAGAGTTGTGAACAGCAGCTGCAGCTCCCCTTTGCTTGCAGGGCTTGTAGGGCTGAGAGAAGGGGCATGGCCAGAAAAAGGAGAGAGAGGCCTAGTATTTATGGATTTGCCACTAGCTGGTGTGTGGGTCCCGGCTTAGTGATAATAGAAATTAAAAACTAAAATAACAATATGGATTTACAGGAAAAACTTTAATTTGAAAGTAAGAGAAAATGAGGAAAGGACTCCATCTCGTGTAGTACCTGGAGGGGACGTACTGATGAAGAAGATCAGATTGGCAGAGACTAGTTTTATGGGATGCTTGTAAGAAGGCTGGAGCCTGGCCGATCACTATGTCAATCATGAGTTTGTAGCTCCAGAGGAATCCTCGTGAACTGAGCAATTTGGTTTCCATGGAAGGAATCCCCATGTCTTGAAAGGCAGTCTCAGCCATGTGAGGCTCTGTTAGAATCCAAGGTGATCATAGGTTTAAGGCAATGGAGACTTCAGGTGTAATTGATCTCAGTCTTGAAGGGTGATGAGATAGGCTAGGTAAATTTAGGGCTAATAAATCTGGTTTTGCCAACTTTTAGACATTCCATAAATGACTAACTTGCATATATATATGTGTGTGTGTGTGTGTGTGTGTGTGTGTATATATATATATATATATATATATAGAGAGAGAGAGAGAGAGAGAGAGAGAGAGAGAGAGCTGATAAAGGATCTGGCCCGAGTTTCATAATATGAAGGTCAAGCTTTGTTCTGTTTTTAGTTATCTATTGGGTATTGGAAGATCCAAGAGTCAAGATTTTTACTAAAAACAAAACAAAACACTTCCAAGTCCTAGTCTATCTTAGAAGCAAACATAAATCATACTTTTAATGACTAATAGTTCAAGGGCCCAGGAGTTTGTCCTTTGTTCCTATAGTGCTCTCTGACTGTGTCACCTTTGTCCTTAACAGCTCTGTAGAACTGGAACTTACTAGGTCACTGACACTGTTAAGAGGCTTACATGCATTATTTCAGCTAATCCTTGTAGTAGATCATTGAGGGATTCCCCACTTTACAGATAAGGAAATTGAGGCTCAAAAGCTCAAGGAATTTTCTCTCTTCATACCTGCTGCTGGAACTATGTCTGAATCCCATGTACTTTGTGATCTCTCTGTGTCTCTCTCTCTCTGAATCACCCTCCCCGCACCCTGGGATTAAATCCAGGACATTCTACCACTAAGCCCTACTTCAGCCATTTATTCTTTTTTTTTAAACGGAGTTTATTGGAGGGCCGGGGATTTAGCTCAGCAGTTTGGTGGCCTTCCTCGCAAGCACAAGGACCCGAGTTCAATCCCTGGTACCAAAAAAAAAACAAAATTGAGTTTATTGGTACTTTTTAGGTAGGCAGTACAGTTACATTCACCATTGGGATCTTGCACCTTTACATGTTGTATCTTGGTTCTTATTTTTTCCCCAGTCCCCTGCCCTCCCTTCACTCCCTCCACCCTTCCCTATTTACAAAGACTTGGTTTCCATTTTTTCCTTATATTTTTTCTTTTACCCTACCCTTCCCACTTCCCCTACACCTTTAGCCGTTTTCTTCCTTTCACATTATCAGTTATACAATTTGAACTTTATTCACACTTAGTTTTTCACATCAGAGAAACTATGTGGTATATACTATTTGTGTGTGTCCTATTTATTTCATTTAAGACTATGGCCTCAACATGCATCCATTTTCCTATAAATGACTCTAGTTTCTCATTCTTTTTTTTTTTCAGCTTTAATTGAGTTTATTGGTACATTTTAGGGATACAGTACAGTTACATTCATTGTTGGGATCTTGTACCTCTACGTGACAAGTCTTGGTTCTCATTTTTTCCCCTTACCCCTGCCCTCCCTTCACCCCCTCCTCCTCCCCATCATTCTTTATGGCTGAGTAGTATAGAAAACCCACATCTTCTTTATCCAGTCTCCAGTTGATGGGCATTTGGCTGTTCCTAAATTGTAGCTATTAAAAACTGTGCCGCTATAAACATGGGTGCTCATATATCACTGTGGTATGATGCTGTTGGAAAGATATCCAGCAGAGGGATAGCTGGGTCAAATGGGACCTCTAATCCTAGTATCTTCAGCCATTTATTCTATTGTTGTTCTTAATATTGACACTGGGGATTGAACCCAGCCAGGGCTTTTATACTGCTACATCCCCAACCCTTTAAAATTTTTTTTTTATTTAACTTGAGACAGGATTCTGCTAAATTGCTAAGTTTCCCAGACTGGGTTTAAACTTGTGATCCTCCTGTCTCAGCCTTCTAGCATGTTGGGATTACTGGCTTCTTTTTTAATATTTTATTTTTAGACAAGATCTCACTAACTTGCCCTGGCTGGACTTGAAGTTCTGATTTTCCTGCCTTGGTTTCCCAAATAGCTGGAATTACAGTCACATGCCACTGTACTTGGCTTATGATTTCTGAAGGTGAGGTCTCTGGTTCTCTCATCATTTATTCATCCAAAATGTGTTCCAAGAAAAAAAAATGTGTTGAGCATCTATTATGTACCAGGCCTGTTCTATATGCAGGGTCTGGTATATAGTAACTTTCAGCCATTTCACATGAAAGTAGGCCAGAAAATTAATAAGGCTATGATTCCGTGTCTGGCTGACTGCAGGGAATAAGACTTATTTTGCACCCTGGACACCATCCTTCCAACCCCAGGCAGCTGTAGGTTACACACAGAGCAAATGTCTTCCAAGTGCTTTGCAGCTGTGGGGAGGAAGCTATTTCAAAGGCAGCCTGCTCTTGGTCCCACGCTGACACAAGGCCTTTGTCATCAGTGAGCCTCGCAGCACCTGCAGGGGGAGATGCCCTGTCAGAGCCCTAATTGAATGTAGTTGGCACTCCCCAGGAAGTGTAATAATTCCAGCTGGCATTTGCCTGGCACTTGAGAGAGGTGCAAAATCCCTGCTAGCAACACAAAGACCAAAGACATCTCTCTGCCAAGCGCTGAGGCTGGGGGCCAGGAGCCAGGCAGAGACAATATTGTGTTGATCTCTTCTTTCTGCCTTTCCTCTGCCCAGCATGCTGTGTGCTGGGCTGGCTGTTGCCTTTCCCCCTGCGGACAGCCCCTGAGGACTCAGGCTTTACCTACTTTGTTCTGCCCCTGGTGTTTTTTTGTTTTTTTGTTTTTTTTTTTGTTTTCCTGAGTTCTGAAATTTCATTATACTGAGCTTGGGTAAATGGATAAGGGGGATGGGACCCAAGAGCCCTGTTGAGCCCCTTAAATCCCTGAGTTAAATAATTCAAATGCAGATTTTGCTTGAGGAGGAGGCTGAAACCATGAGTCAGGACTAGTCTTTGTATTTTAGTATAGTTCACTGAAGCTGACACCACCTTATTAGCACTGAAATGCAAGTTGTGTTTTAAAGTAATAGCAGTGAATAACAGGCAGTGCGGGTTCATATGTATATGTGCTCCTCCTCTGCGAGGTACTTCTCTGAGTTCTTCACACTCATTCTGTGAGATGGGTATCAGCTCCCTTTTATAGATGGAGACAGTGGAAGCTTAGACAACTTGAGAGGCATGGGATAACCACAAAACTACCATGTTGGGGAGCTTGGGTTTTATTCAAGTACTCCTTTGGAGTCTGTACTCTTCAACACCGTGATAAATCTTTCCCAGAGGGTATGCATTACTTGAGAGTTTTAAGGTCTACTTTTTATTTTAGCAGATAGCACAGAAAGCTAATATTTATGTGTTGGACATTTTGTATACATTCTTTATTTGCTAGTTTACCCATTTTTATGATGAGAAAAGAGTTTTTGAATGGTTAAGTGACTTGCCTAAGGTCACACAGCCAGTGATGGTTGCAGTTAGGAATTGGACCCAGATCAATTTGACCATGATTTTCTATTATGTACAAGGTAGGTATTCAAAATCCTGTGGGTGTACTCTAGGTTGAAACATCTTTTCTGGATATTGCAGAAGTCTCTTTCTCCCCAAAGATCTATTTTTTCACCAATAATCCACCAAATGTTTTTCATACTTGTTTTTTTCTTGGTCTGTCTTCTGCCCCAGCTAAAAACACATTGGAGTTTTGTTCTGGAACCTGGGGCTCCTGGAATGGGCAGGGAGTGGGGCCCTGTGGCGGGGAACAGAACAGCTTGCTCTGCATGTTCCCTAGCCTCCTCTGCACGGTCCATTCCCTGTTCCAGCAGACTTCGGGGCTGCAGCTGTGCAGAGAGTGGGGGCTGCCAAGCTCCCAGCAAGGGCTCTGTTCAAAGGCACCACAGGATCTGACCCTTGGGCTCTGAACCCTTGCTCTCCTGCAGTGGCTCTTTGTTCTCAAAAACTTCTCCTTCTAGCCCATTTCTGGCTCAGCCTGTACCCCTGCTGGCCAGGTAAAGTGAACAACAAGTCACCATTTCTCTCCTTATTTGTCCCAAGCCCAACTTTGCAAATTGTCATCCTCACAGGTTAGAGCCCCTGCTTGTCTGTGTGTGGGCCGTCACAGAATGTCCTGAGGACTCTTGGGAGTTTTCTTGGTAATGTGTAGACCAATCTGTACCCTGTGTGCTGTCTGGGGCACACACCCAGGCTGGAGACTTCAGGGTCTTGGCTGTTTGGAGGGAGTTCCTGGTCTGACAGGAGATGCCATGGGCCCTGGAACCAGGCACCTTACATCTCTGACACCAGTCAGTTCTTTCTGCACAAGCTCAGAGTCTTGCTGTAAGGTCCTGCACTTGATGCTGTTGAGAAACTACTCACCCAGGTGGGAAGGAGACAGAACAGAGGGACCCACTGAATTTTCCTGAGATGACTATAGGCAGAGTTTTAGGAGTGTAAAGGATTTGGAACCTGTAGAAGGAGCAACCAGACTGGCCAGCCTCTCCTCAAATGTGGTGTGGCATTTCCCTGCACTGTGCAAGCACCCACCTTGCTGTCCTCAGGATTTGATTTCATTCTTCCACTTCCTTCTCTAGCTTCTGACATAAATCCCCAACCCCCTCTCTTTTCTCCATTATAATTTTTCCTCAGGGTCAAGTTGTCACTGTGCTTTGGGCTTTTGTGTCATTTCTTTGTGAGCACCAGCACTCTAAATCCTCCTTTATGCTTCTTGCTTCTGACCCTTTTCCCTAGTGGCAATTCCTACCTTAGAGAACACTCAGAGAAGGGACTTCCAGTGAGCAGAAGGAATGGACAGCTGGAGACTCTCTTCCCTTCTCTTCACAATCTCTCCTTGCTTGGTCCCCATTCCTGCAGAGGTGGAAATACAACCAGAGGAGGCATGTCCTGGGCATGTCCTTGATGGCTGTCCTCAGGGACACAGGGCAGTGATCTCACACCTAGTGTTCATTATGATGACCAGGAAACTTTGAAAATGACACAGTTTCTGGGGCTCAGGATTCAGTGTCTCACCTGGGGATGCCAGTCAGTGTGATTCTAGACAATCGGCCTACAATGTAGAGGAAAACTGATGCTCAGGTAGGGCTGACTATAACAGGAGAGAGCAAGGGGTGAGGTGAAGGGTGGTGGCCATGTTTAGGGCTAGGGGAAGGCAGGGAGGAATTGAGCTTTGTGTATGGAACCGGAGGTTGCTGTTAGTAGAAGGAAATGAGGGGAGGCTGGAAGGGTTATGGAAAGCAGGAGCCTGTTTGGGAGCTCCTGGAGTGAGGCTAGGCCAAGACACAGAAGGGGTCATCCAGTGCCCTTTCTCCTGGAAACACAGGGCCATGTCCACAGCTTAGTGCTTCCTGGAGTTGCTCATAGGCCCCCCTTCCCACAACTCTGAAGGATTCCTTGGTCCCATCGACTTGATGTTCTTTCTCTTTGGGGTGTTCTAGCTGTTAGATCACAACATGAACACACTGGGCCAGACAGCTGACATAACAGCGACAGCCTTAGTGAGCTTTAGCTGGAAAGGTGTTTTCCCCAAGGAGGACAAAGTCCTCTCCAGATTTACTTCTATTCATCCTCCAGACTTTGTGGAGAAGGAAGATTACTCTTCCTAGTTTTTATTTTTATTTTTTATGATACCAGGATTGAACTCAGGACCTTGAGCTTGCAAGGCAGGCAGCAGAACCACTGAGCTAAATCCCGGGCCCCCTTCCTGGTTTTTAGACAGAGGGTTCTGAGACCCATATCCCTAGAGATCTTGTGCCTGGATTCCTATTAGGGATAGGACAGAGTGGAACAGAACCCAGGGCTTTGTTTCTGCCATCTAACCTTCGATACCAGACCTTCCTTTGTTCTGGAGCCCTGACCCACCTACCTGTCGTCCACCAAATCTCCTTCAGATTTCTCTTTGTTTCCTCCTATGGTGCTCAACAAACCCATCCAGGGCCCAGGGAGGAGGGCCACTGAGTGAATAGGGCAGCAGGGTCCTGGCTGGTTCCTGGCTTGTGGCTGTGTCTTCCCATGGAGGTGCAGAGGGCCACTTCCAAGGAGGTCAGCCTTCTTGCCATCTTCCTTCGCAGGTGTGGATGGACGCAGGCACCCAGATCTTCTTCTCCTTTGCCATCTGCCTGGGCTGCCTCATGGCCCTGGGCAGCTACAACAAGTACCACAACAACTGCTACAGGTGACTGGGGGTGCGAGTTCTGACCCACACCAGCTCATGCATTTGCCTTTGTTACACCCCTACTTCCATGCCAAGGTGCTCTTGGAAGCCAAACGGAGTCAACTGCAGGATGGGAGGAGGGGCTGCTTCTGGAAGGGTAGAAAGCAGCAATCACCTGGGAGATGTGAGGAGGGAGTCTGCCTGCCCTGGCTACTTTAGGGATTAGTGGGCTCAAGAGCATTAGGTGAGGAGCAACAACCTCACAGCTGTCCTGTGGTGGAGCCTCTGTCTGGCCTGCTTGGTAAATCTGCCCCAGCAAACACTGACTCCTTGCAGACTTTCACCTCACCTCCTGGGTGTGCTTCCCAGAGGCCTCTCCCTCACACCACATCCTTTCCCCAGGGTTCCTTTCTGCCTTCTGGATTCATTCTCAGAGAATTGAAGCCAAATGTGATTAGTTGAAATGCAGATGAAAAAAAAAAAATCCTATTGTGCATTTCTAAAATAGAACTTTGTGAGTTATGTGTTGTTTGCCACTATCCATGTCACGCTAGATGAAATTATGTCAGAGCAGCAGTGTCTCCAAAAGTGTGGTAGTGGCTTGGGGGTGGGGGCGCTTGGAGCATCAGTCTTTAGTGTCATCTGGATTCATCTCACTACTGAGCCAAGCCAGTGGTGGCGGGTGGGGCAGGACCAGCACTTGGAATAGTCATCTGGATTTGACGGGGAGCCCCGCCCGGCCTCTGTGAGGGCTCAGTGAGTGTCTGCCTGGAGGAGCTGCGGCCCCTGTATGAGCCTGTTGCTTCCTTCTCCGTACCTGCTCCCCACAGGGACTGCATCGCCCTCTGCTTCCTCAACAGCGGCACCAGCTTCGTAGCCGGCTTTGCCATCTTCTCCATCCTGGGCTTCATGTCCCAGGAGCAGGGTGTGCCCATCTCTGAGGTTGCCGAGTCGGGTGAGTGCCACTGGGAAGTACCCACAAGTTCTTTGTTCCTGAGATCCAGAAATGATACTCAAGAAGTTTCAGATTTTGGACCGTTTTTGATTTTCAGATTAGGAGGCTCAGCTGGTAGATTCTATACAAATATTCCAAGTCTGAAAAACTCCAAAATCTGAAACGCTTCTGGGGCCAAGCACTTCAGATGAGGGATTTGTCACGCATAGTGTGAAGCATGCATGCAGTAGGTGCTACCACTGTCCCTGCTGCACCAGAGTGGGAGCTGAGGCTCGGGGAAGCAGGTGATAGCCAAATGGTTCTCCACATGTTTCAGTGAAAGCTTCCCATGCCTGTGAATTCATTCCTGCCCCATGAGTGGCTGAGAGGGACATTCATACAGTTGAGAGGATGTGTGCCAGTGGCATTCTAAAAGTAATGCCAGGCTACTTGTGGGAGGGTGAGGAGTGATAAACTGGAGGCCATAGGCTGGAGTCTCACCCATGAGGTACTTTCTTTGGTACCATCTACTTTGTAAACATAACAAAGTGATTGCTTCAGCCATAGAATGCTCAGGTTCCTTCTTGTTTTATGCTAGGTCTGCTTCATGAGTTTATCTGGCCCACTGGCTCCTGCACTCATTCCAAGTTTGACACCTCTGGTTTGGAGCAACAAATGCAAAGGCCCAGAGCCCTTTTAGAAAATGTCCTTTTTAGCTAGGGTCTCTAGTTTCTGTTCTTGCTAGTGAGCGTACAGTGGTTTGGTGCCTTGGAAATTTGGGGACTAGGTAGATGTTTGGGTGGCTTGGCCTGGGTCAGGATAGTGGTGATGGTGATAATTTTAGGGTGAAGTTTCAGCATGGGGCTGTATCCCTCTGCTTCACCTTAGGACCTGGCCTGGCTTTCATCGCCTACCCTCGGGCTGTTGTAATGCTGCCCTTCTCTCCTCTGTGGGCCTGCTGCTTCTTCTTCATGGTCATTCTGCTGGGACTCGATAGCCAGGTATCAAGAGGTAGCCTCTCGGAGCCCGAGTGATGACTGGGTGTGTGGGCAAGGAGAGAGTACACAGAAGGCATGAGGTTGAGCTGTTTGCCCCAAGGGAGTTTAAAATAGTTGGGGACTTGGCAGGAGTGGATGTCCGCAGGATGGTCCAGACCTAACCACATTCAGCTCTGGGGCTGGAGTCAGAGAGGCTGGCAAGGCTGACTCTGGGAGCCAGATCCAGAGCTGTGACAAGGTGTGCTGCAGCAGATCTCTCCCTCCGATCCTTCTGCCCTCTCATCTAGTTTGTGTGCGTAGAAAGCCTGGTCACAGCACTGGTGGACATGTACCCCCAGAGGTTCCGCAGGAAGAACCGGAGGGAGATCCTCATCCTTGTGGTGGCCATCATTTCCTTCCTCTTGGGGCTGGTCATGCTTACCGAGGTAAGGATCTGGGAGGCTGGAAGGAGCACCCTATGAGGATGAGCAGCAGCATAATCAGCTGCACTGTCAGTCAGGGCGACTGCCTCCGGGCCACTGGGACCCTCTCCTTGACCCCATAGAAAGAATGGATGAGGGGGAACTTGGTTCTATTGTAAGCAAAGAGGCACAGAAAGCATTGGGAAAAGCTGCCTCCCCAGCAAGACCCCGTAGGCAATGGAACCAAGTTCGGCACATAACCTCACAGGGGGAAGGGGAGCCCTGGGGACAGGTGGCATCTGTGTTGTCTTGGGGGAGAAGCAGGTTGGAAGAGCCGGCATTTGGCATTTTGATGATACCAACAACAACTCCGTCACAACCCTTTGTTAGACACTATACTTGGGCTTCTGGGTCCTTCCTAAATACTCTCAGGAATACACTTAACGATAGCTGTCTGATTTCATTCATCTTCCGTCCAAAAGCAATAATAAAACAGTCATTTTCCATATCTTCCTAGTGTTTTATGGCTTATAAACACATTCTCTTTTAGTAGCTGTCTCCTGTGATTTCACCAAGGCTGCTCTGGGCCCCAAAGCTGAGGCTGTGGGGCACGGGAGTAAGTCTGTCTGTCTCCTTGGGATAATCTCCCCTGTGCAGGGTGGCATGTATGTGTTCCAGCTCTTTGACTACTATGCAGCCAGTGGCATGTGCCTCCTGTTCGTGGCTGTCTTTGAGTCCTCCAGTGTGGCTTGGATTTATGGTGAGTGGCTTTTCCCCAGTATCTCTTCCACTCTAGTGCATTTCAGCAACATCTGCTGTCCACACCCACATTTGCCCAGACTCCACCCTACCCAAACCTCAGAAATCTCAAAGCCCCCAAGTGGCCAGGGCTGGTGGGACCCTCCAGAAGTTGCCTTGAGTTCCTACCTGCATTACCTGCACCCAGACCCCTTCAGGTGGGCCTATCCAAACCAAAACTCTGCTGCGTGGAGAAACCTTGAAAATCAGAATGTGATTTTTCTCTCCCTAAACCAAGTTCTACCTGCTGTCATTTATGCTATGAACCCTAGGATGCTTTGAAAAGACAACCATGATATCTCCCATTTACTGGTCCTTTCCCACCTAATCTATATGGCCCCCTTCCTGACCCTGAAGGATGTCCTTTCTCTCCTTCCTCCCCCCTTCTCTGTGGTAGGAGCTGGACGCTTCTATGACAATGTTGAAGATATGATTGGGTACAGGCCATGGCCTCTTATCAAATACTGCTGGCTCTTTTTCACACCAGCTGTGTGCATGGTAAGGAAATCTTCAAGGGATGGAGACAGATGAAAGGTGTGCCTGAGGGCGGTAGCAGGGGTGGAGGTGGAGGTCATTAGCTCTAGAGTGGAGTTCTTTCTAGAATTTGAAAATCATCTTGGATTTTTATTCCTCTTCCCATTGGAGCCTAGAAATCTACAGCAAGATAGACTCTTCCTTTCTGTTTCACAGAAGGATAAACTTAGGTCTGATGATGTCAGACAGCTTGACCAAGAGCCCAGTGTGAATCTAATGTCACAGGCAGGGACTGAAACTCAAGGGTTGGACTGCTCAGAATAACATTAAAAACCACAGCCATCATGATAGCAACAGTTCTACAGGGCCTACTGTATTCCTGGCCCAAGGTACTTTCTTGTGTAAGGCAACAATCACAATGACATGCATTTTACAGATGAAACTGAAGCTAAAGAAGTAAAACAACTTAGGGAGTGACAGAGTTGTAGAGAGCCAAGACTCATACCCAGGCAGCCTGGTTCCAGTCTGAGGCTTGAACACATTGTGCTGCCCCTTGGCTTTCCGCTGCTGTCAGCAGTTACTCAGCCCTGCTGGGTACAAGATGGACATGAGGATGGTGGAGAGGGAGGTGGACACTATCCGGAACTACTCACAGCCCTACCTACCTCTAGGTGCAAGAGATGTATGCATCTTAGAGCACCCAGGTGCATCACCCTGTTTGACCAGGAGTCAGCCATGAGCAGAGGTCCTCGGGACACAGGGCCCCCGAGTGACAGAGCATGGGTCCTGGAAGTATCTGCTGGGGAAGTGGGTTCTGAGCAGAATGTGGTGTAGTTTGGAAGCTGACTGGAAGCACATCAGAGCTCAGAGAAGGAAACCTATCAGGCCAGCCATTGGGTGGGGTACTGAGGGCACAGAGACCCTCACCTTCTTTCTTTTCCACTCTCACTCCAGGCCACCTTTTTGTTCTCCTTGATCAAGTATACCCCACTGACCTACAACAAGAAGTACATGTACCCATGGTGGGGTGATGCCCTGGGCTGGCTCCTGGCTCTGTCCTCCATGGTCTGCATTCCTACCTGGATCATTTACAAATTCATCAGCCTCAAGGGCCCCCTCAGAGAGGTAGGATCTCCACAGAGGGATGGGGGCTTCTCTGGATGAGGTGAGCTTATGGATGCTAGGTGGGTGGCCTGCTGGGTGGGGGGAGGTGGTGCTCAGAGGGGCTGGGGAGTTGGAACAAGTGTCAAGGAGGGTCAGAGTGTGAGCTGAGAAGTCTTAGGAAAAGTGACCGGGTAATGGCAGGACCCAGGCTGTAGTTACCGGGCTGGCACCCAGAGGTGGGTATGTGAGGAGGCAGGTGGATGTTGGTGCTGAGGGACCGTGGCAGACAGTTCTCATCTGCCACATGACAGCCATGGCCACTGTCCTTGCAGAGAGTTCGCCAGCTCTTGTGCCCAGCCAAGGACCTGCCCCAGAGGAGCCAAGCAGGACCCTCTGCCCCTGCCACACCCAGGATGTCTCTTCTTCGACTCACAGAACTGGAATCAAACATCTAGGGGCAGGCCCTCAGATGGAGCCTGCGGGCCAGAGGGCAAAAGACTCACTGTGCCTCTCTGTCCTCACCCTGGGCAGACAAGACAGAGGGGGACACTGTGGAGTCTGCCTTTGGAGTTGGGGGCCTCCTGCCCCCACTTCCCTGTCACACCCCAGGTGTGACAGATGTGAGATGCCAATGTCCAGAGTATCTTTTGAGGCAGCTTGGAGAGCCCGAAAGGGGTTGTAGGGGGGAGAGCAGCTGGCCTCTGGCCTCCTCCCTGCCTCCATTAAATTCATCTTTTTCCCTAATGCTTGCATCCAGTCTGTTTTCTGCCCTCAGCCTGTGCCTTGGCTACCTCCCCCTGCGCAGCTGTGGCTGTGGGGCCGGCTCCCTCCTGTCTTGCCCATAGTCACTGAGTTCTCTTCCTTGACACTGTAGCAGAGGTGACTGCTGTGATAGGAGCTTGACAGCAAGGTGTGTGGATCCTGGGAGGTGTCCCATGTTCTCCACCTGTGCTCTGTGAGATAGGAAAGGAGGTGGAGGGAGGATGAAGGAGACCAGGGCCCTAGCTGTTTCCCAGCCTGTGCCCTTGCCTACTCTGTGTCAGCCCGTCGACCCAGCCTGGGGCAGCAGGGCACAGCCGTGGCCTGCAGGCCTAGGTGGGTGTAGGAGCCTGGACTCTGTCAGCAGAGGACCCTGCATCCACAGAACTGCCTGTCCTCTAAATTTGCAAGAGGCTTCAAAACTGGGTGCTGTTATCACCAGGTGTGGCCACAAGGGGGTGGCACTGCCATGACCTCAGCACCACCATGAGAGCCTAAGCAGCTTGAGATGGGTAGGCTGTGAAGAGGAGCCAGTGGGAGGCAGAGTCCATCTCTCTTGGGGCTCAGCAAGCGGCGTTGGCCCCAGGGGTCCACAGGCATCTCTGTAGTCTCCCCTGGCCCCAGGACCCATGGGCAGTGCTGTAGCCAACCAGCTCCCCCAGCCCAAGACCACCCCTGTAGCTTTCCCTCCCAGGCCACAGCATCCCGTCACCTGGCAGCCTGGAGGGCAGCGAGATGCTCCAGTGGCATTGTGTATGTGTGTGGAAGTGGCTGAACCTGGGGCTGCTGTTCTCCTCCCTGTGAACTAAACTCTCTGCCACCTTATCAGCAGACTCTGCTGGTGCCATTGGGGTGGTAGTGGTGCATCCCATGACTCTCAGGGCTGCTATCAAGGGTGCACAGGGTCCTCTGTTTAGAGTTTTCAGTTTTTTTCTCCATGTCAGTCTATGAGGAAATATTCCACAATCTTTGCCAGTCTTTAAGTTTTGACTTCTTATTGTTGGAAGAGTTTATAAAAATCACCAATAGCACAACCCTATACACACACATGCACACACACACACACACACACACACACACACACCCCATGTATTGGCCTTTCTGGACAGTGCACCGGGTTCAGCCACAGGCCTTCCTTAGAAGAAGTGAATCTGGTGGAGAAGCTCCTGAAGGTGGAGCCAACACACACCTGGCCTCTCCATCTGTCCCACATTGTTTCCAGAACACCGCTGTGCAGAGCTGTGTGATGCTGTCCCAACTCATGGTGTCAGATATGATTTCTTAAACAAATATGGCAAATGCTCTGAAAGGTAAGAGCACAGAGGAGTAGGTGTGGGAAGGGACCAGATGGTGTAAGCCCAGGTGGCCTGGGAAAGCCAGATGAGCATCCAGCCTTCTGATCAAAGCTTCAAGGATCTGTTGAGTCCAGGAAGGGACAGAGCCGTTGTGCTAGAGATTTGCATCTTATTTAGGAGACTCACAATGGTGGACTATAGTGTGAAAATCACCCATTGGCACAAGAATCAGGGAACTAGTTCTCCTCTTCATTTGCTGTATCTAATTTACTGCGTGTCCTTGTGAAAGCTCCTTGTGATTCCTACTTGTCTTCCAGATAAGGATAATACTGTGCCTTGGCTCACATGGGTTTGTTGTAGGGCTCGAAGGAGGTCATGGGTATGAGAGTGCTTTCAGCCTCTTGGTGTCAGTCAGCGTGAAGTTATTAAACCAGCTGGGGGAAATGGATGAGGAGGAGATGCTCTGACCATCCAGGGAGGACAGATAAGTGGAGATGGAGCCTTGTACCTGGACCAAGCTTTGGCCTAGGGAGTGGAAGAGGTGGGGCTGGAGGTGGAGGAGGGTTGTTTCAGTCCCATCTTCTTTTCCTGCATGGAAGGGTAGAGTCTGAATTCTGTAGTTCCTAGACGAAGAGAGCAAGCAGGAACAGAAGGGGAAATCCTCCCTGTCCAGAGGCCACACCTGTTATAGAAGGAAGGCAGATGGAAAGGGCCTCGGGGGAGGGGAGAGCCAAGTGCAGAGGGCAGAGGCACAGGCAATGGGAGAATTTCCAAACCACAGCCCTTGGCGGGAGGGAAGCACTTAGGCACTGAGCACACCAGGCTGCCAGGGAGCTCAGACTTTGCACGTGTGTGTGTCCTGGTCTCAGGTTCCCACATGCTTATACACAGAGTCCCTCATTGTCCTTAGACAAATGTGCACATGTGCAAAGACTCAGAGACACCGCAGTCAGCCCAGCACATTCCTTTAGGATTTTACAGTCCATACTTAGCTCCCCATGCTTACTGGCTGTGTGACCTAGGGCAAATTAACCTCTCTGGACCTTAGTGTTCTCCCTTAAAAATGGAAATAATACTGTTTACATCATAGAGTTATTGAAGAGAGTATAGAACAGCTGCTCGTGGAACACATTCAAGCAAATCCCTTTATTTACCCTCACTCGAGGCCCCTACATTGCACTAGCAGTTAACAGAGATGTCCTTGCTGTAACAAGGTCAGATTTTCCTCCAGGAAGAAGGCTACAGTTATGGAGCTAAGCATATTTGCTAGAAGGCAAGAGAAAGGTGCTGCTAAAATAACCAGTATCCTGTGACCCTGTGGTCCTGCTCAGCACAGCAGTACTGGTCAAGAAAAGTAGGAACTGAGCCTTCCATGCTCTAGTTTATGTCTTGGTTCTGGGAAAACAATGCTTTCCTAGAAATTGAGGTGATATTTTTTTTCCCCAAGGAACATCCATGCATCCCTCCGTCTGTCTGATAAATACCAAGCGCCTACTCTGAGGCAGGGCTACTGTACTAAATGCTAGATAGAAACAAAGGATTTTGAAATTAGATCCCTACCCATTAGATATTCATGGTCTGGGAAACAGTATGCTACAGTGTAATCTAGTATAGGTTTTTAGAATCAAGTGTGTAGGTTTTTGGAACCAAATCTCAGCTCTGCCATTTGCTAGCGCATGGCCTTGGGACAAAGCATGTGATTCTGTTTACCCCAGCATTCACTCTGTCAGATGGGGCTAATGATGTCTATATTCCCGGGTTCTCAAGGAGATTATATGAAGTAACATGTAGAGCACAGAGCCTGAGTTAGATGCTCAGGCAGTGGGTCCCATCCCAGGTCTGCCAAAGCAAGCACAGGGTCAGAGAAGATGGCAGTGATGAGAACATCTGTGGAATCCAACACTGTGGATATTACAGTGAGATCACTGGTTTATTTAATCATATTTCATCTTAACTATGAGCCTCCAGTATGGAAAGAGCCCTGACTTAGCTAGACTTTGCAGGATTCCTACCTTAGGCAAGACGGGGTTCCTGGCTTCCAGAGTTTTCCAATTGCTCTGAATACCCAAACGGTGTTGGGGAACATAGAGATTGCAGTGGAAACGAATAAAGATAGAGCTCAAAGACAGGGCTCAAAGACAGTGCCAGAGGCAATCAGGTAAAGAAGGGAAAGACTAGGTTACTCTTGGGAGAAGAATCAAACCCTGTTCCCCAAACTGCTGCCTGAGAGGATCACAGGAGGAGGATCAGGGTGGGCAAAAGGGCGAGTTAAGGAAGACGGTGTCTTAGTCCCTTTTCTCACTGCTGAGACACCATACCCAACTTCCCTTTCTCCCACAATTTAAAGGGGGAGAGGTTTATAGAGACTTCACTCCATAGTACACTGGCTCCAAAGCAGGATGGCATGGCAGAGAGGCAAGGCACAGAAGACAGAGTCAAGGGAGGAGCTGGACAGGGAGATGAACTCTTTTAGGCCTCACCTCCAGTGACCCACCTCTTCCTACCAGACTCTACCTCCTAATAGCAAGTCAGCTATAAGCTCCCATAGCACAATCACCTCTCAAACGTCCTACCTCTGATCACTTGAGGTTTAGGGTGACATCTCAATATAAACCATAACAGATGAGTATTTTGATGTTGGATAGCTGCAACTATTTACTCACATGGGCACTAGTGTCCCCTCTGCAGCAAGCTCTACGGTCAATGTGTGTGGTGCACCGAATATACAGGGACAAGGCCTGTGACACGGATCACACAGGCTAGCTGAGCACAGGAGTGACAAGAGTGACTCTGGGGGCTGGGCTCTCTTTGGCTCGAACTGCCCCCAGCCTGGCTTATGGCTTCACAGAGCTGAGCCATCTGAGAACTGAAACTCACCCTGGCCTTTTCACAATGGGGAACCCTATGGGACAGGCTGAAAGGGCCTGAGAGATGCTGAGTGGGGGTGTCTGATGGAAAATTACAGACTGAAAGTCTCGCTTCACATTCCTCCACTGCTGGGAAGTCCTCAAAGACAAAGAGGAAGTGTATGTACAGGGACATTTCCCTTTCTCCTACAACTTCCCCTGCCTCCACCCACCTACAGCTGAAGAAGCGCCTCGGTCCTCTAAAGGAGGGGCTGTGGGCCAGACTTGTCCCCGCTATTGTGAGTGTGTGCTCGGGACCCTCTTCTGGAGAAGCCCACTGGGCCCCCAGTACAGGACACACATATTCAGCCCATGCCCTTCACCACTCACAGCTACCAGGCTCTTCTGGATGCGTCTTTGCCATGTGCCTTGGCACTGAGAGGTGACAGGGCATCATTCGTGCTGTTCAGGACCAGACCCGCCGTGATCTCAGCCTCTCTGTCCAGAGGACCCACAACAAACACCAGCAACGCCCTGTAAGTATTTGTGATCACTTTACTATGATTTTTTTTTCTCTTTCTCTCACAGCAGCCCTGCAAGAGGACATATTATTTTACAGAGTGGGAAACTGAAACTCATGTCCCTATCTAGTGATCAGACTGGCCGACAATAGGGTAAGAGTGGAGAGTCAGGCCTGCCAGATCCTGTACCTGTGGCCTTGATCCTCTGTGCTCCTTCCTTTAGACAGGCATGGTGAGGGTGCTTTCTCTAGGAAAATCCCAAAGAGGGCTAGTGGTTGTGAAGGACTAGAGCTTGCCTAGAAGCCACAGAGGGCAGGCGCTCAGTGGAAAACTCCAGCTGTGAGTCACTGTCCTCCTGAGCCCTCGTCACTGAAGCCAGCTCCCTCTGGAGCTCTCAGTTTCCAGGCTGGAAGTCAGTGGCTCCCACCCTGCTGCTTCGGTAAGAGAAGGGATGGTGCTGGGGTACTCAGAGGGGGAAGAGGGGAAAGGGGAGGGTGGGCAACAGGAATATGTGAGGACCCCCTCCGCTCTGGAGGGGCCTGGAGGTTAGCGGCTGCAAGGAAGGGGCTGTAGAGGGCGTGAGAGAGTGGGAATAGAGGCCTGACTTCCTGAGGTTGGGTGTCATAGTCCTGCTTCACACACACACACACACACACACACACACACACACACAGTGGCTTTCTGTCTGGGAGTCCTGGGACAGTTCGGACAGGATTCCACACTGAAAAGAGCAGGACTGAAGGTGGAGAACCTTTCCCTTTCCGGTCTGGCTCTTGGCACTGGCTAACCCAGTTTCCTGGGACTGACTGTGCACGGAACTGAGCAGATTGCAGGGGAGCAAGGTGAGCAGGAAGCAAGGCTCTACTGCTGACCCAGAGGGAGGGGTCAGAGGGCTCAGACCTGGAAGGCAGAACTTCATAGAGTTGTGTCTGAGTGGGAAATAAGTCTGATACTCAATGGCACTGGGACACGGGTTCCTCCCACAGGTCCCCTCGATACCCACAGCATTGGGGTTGCTCAGGAATAAGCCTGGGTAGCAGGAGAGTCCATGGATGGGGAGCAGCCCGGACAGTGGGAGAAGGAAGGTGGTCACCTGACTGAGGGGGAGGGAAGCACACAGTGTCCAGGAGGTGGGAGGGAGGCTGGACAGGAGGAGCCTCGGGGCATTCCTAGGGCTGGATCCGCACTGAATGTCAGCCCTCCCCTCCCAGTGGGCGTCCCTTCACCTCCAGAAGCTAAGTATCTCCCAGAAGGAGGAATCTGCCTGACCCTGGGTTTGGGGGAGACATGGGTTTAAACAGTGAGGGAGACGAGGAAGGCGTGGGCAGCCACTGCTGGGGCATGAGGGACTACAGGCGAGTCGGGCTTTGGGGCCATGCACATAGGTATGTGTGTGCAAAGGGACGTGATGGCTGATGGCACCAGTGTGTGTACGGGAATGGATATTGGTATGTGGGTGTGGGGTGGCCGCTGGGCCATTCTTATGCTTGACTGGGAGAGTGGCATGTGGAACAGCATTCTGGACCTGCCCACTAGAGCCCAGACAAGCTTCTGTGTGTGTGCACTGGAACCAGTTTTCACTGTACTTCTAGTCTGTCAGAGACTAGAGCTCAGGGAGCACGTGGGTGTCTTTGCTTCTGGGGAGCCTGGACTATGATAAGGTCCATTTCGTGTTCCCTGTCCTCTGTCCCAGCTTAGCGAAGCAGGTGGGTAGCCTTGTCGGGGAGAGGCTGAGGGCTGCAGAGGTGGCACAGCTGGGGTGGGCACCGGGAAAGCGGCGGTCTCCAGAAGTTGTCTTCGCTGTGGAAAGCACTCTTGTTAAATAACTCCTAGCAAATGACTAGATGTAGGAGAGCGTGGAGGGAAGGGGGAGATGCTGTCCATTGGCTTTAAAAAGCAACCCAAAAAGGAGAGCCCTGTGCAGCTTGTCTTTATGTCCAGCATCCTCCAAGACATTATTTCTGGGATCTGACTTAAACCCTTCTTGCTGCCGTTCCAGCCTATTTCCTTTGACTTACCATGGCTCTGGACCTGCTTTCAGTTTTACTCACTTTTGCTTTCATTGTGCTGTTGCAGTTTTTCGTTCTTACCCATAAGTTACTCTCCTCCCAGTGATCCTTTTATTTTTTTAAAAAATAGTACGTTTATGTCTGTGTCCGTTCATCAGTTCATCCTCTCTTCCCTTTCCTCCTTCGTCCTTGACGCAACTCAAATCTGGCCCCCTGCTGGGTTCTGGGCCTTCCTGCTCCTGCTGTCCTCCAGCTTTCCCTGCATTTACTCCTCTCCCAAATCCCCTCCTCCAGTCAGCGAGGACCTTGGTCTTGCAACAGCCCCTGTGGTCTAGGAACAGTGAGGCTGATCTCCAGGGTTCCCTGGGGATCCTGTGCCTGGCCTGGCACTGAGCTAAGGTACCCTGTGGCTCGGTGAGCAAAGACTAACTTCTTGTTTTTATGGATCTCCTGTTTATGCTCCCACTCTTCCAGCGCCCTGTTGAACAGGGGTCATTCTCTCTTTCAGGAAGATTGGAGGCTGAGAGAGGAGGTGTGATTTGCCTGAGGTCACACAGCAGGACTCGGCCCCACCACATACTGTCTTGGTAAGTCCATTCAGCCACTCAAAACAGTCTCACTGAGCACCTGTCTGCTAGGTTCCCTGTGCTGTTCCCTAATCTCTCTGAGTGTCAGGTCCTCAGGTGCACAGTGGAGCTGACAGAAATACCAACTTCACAGACTGCTATGGGGATAAGATTTAATCATATACTCTAAGGATCTGTTTGCTTGTAGCACAATCCTTACTCAGATGTTAGCCTTTTATTATTATTGTAAAGAGCTAAGTCAACTAGAACATGGGTTTCCTGTCTGTGTGTTTTGTGGCAGTGTTTTCAGCTCATTCGTTTATTTGTTCATTTGTTTGGGAACGATTCAGGGGTCCTGGGTGCCCCAGTTCCCATTCAGGAGCAGTGTCCATGTCTGAGGTGAGCATTGTGGCTTCTCCCCCTCAGTCCAGGTACCTGTGGTCCGATTCTTAATATGTCCCCTGCCCTGCTCTGGCCACTCACTCCGACTGGAGCCCCCCTTTCCTTCCCTTCTCTCCTCTTCTCCCTCCTATTAGCGTCTCACAATCTCTGACTCTCACTGGTGACCCTCCCCATCCCCTGTCTAGGCGGAACTTGCATTAGAAGCCTCTGAGTGCCCCCCAGTACCAGCACTTCACCCCAACACGTTTCCATTCCTGGGATAACCTCTACCCTCCAAGTCACCTTCAAAAATTTCCATAACCTCATGTGGCACCTGCCCACACCTCTCTAACTGACTTGGGCTTGGGCCGTTGCCTGGGTTAAAAGAACCAACAAATAAACACAGACTCTTCCTGAATGAAAAGACGCCCTGTGTTTCCCTAGAGCCTCAGAGGAGTGTGGAGCCCTCCATAGGCTTGATTGCTGTGATTCCCCCGTAACCATTGAAGAGGAGAGGTAGGGGGTGTACACTTGCCCCAGCCCTTGCATTCTGGTCACTGCCCTGGGGATTTCTCTGGGAAAAAGGCAGAGGTGGCCTCAGGCTGACTGGAGGGTGAGAGGGGAGGGGAAAAGACAGATGCATCTTACCTCCTGGCAATGGACAGAGGAGAGGGACAGAGAATAATGCTGAGGCCCCACATAATTCTGCTGGAGGCTCCTTGAGCTTTGGGCTCTGCAGAATGCAGGGAGGGCAGGCAGTGATAGTCTCATGGGCAGCCCAGCTGGGTGCCCCTTTGGAGGGGACAAGTCATGGGGTTGTCCTGGGCTCATCTAGGGGTGACCATCACCCGCTGATACTTGGTCTGCTGACCCTTCCTTGGCACCAGACCCACCAGTGATTTAAGGATAGACAGGTATGTGAAGAAAAAGGAACGGGTTCCTTCAAAGGCCCATACCAGGCCCTGGTGCTGATCCTCATCACCATCTGGTGGTTCAGAGGTCCACCTTCCCTCCCCATCAGCACCTGAGAAACTGACCCCTTGTGTACTCTGTGCTGGTCAACGTAGGGCGGAGCATCCAACTGGGCAGGAGAGCACTATGCACACCCACCCTTTAACCCTGGCAGTCAGATCCCTTCTGCCTGCAGGCCAGAGGCTGGCCTAGTGTCTCTCAGATCAGGGATCTGGGCGGACAGGCTTGCTGTGATGGTGGTTGACTGCAAAGATCGAAAGGGACTTGAAATCAAGGGCCTTGAGCTTGGGTTTTAATCCCAGCTCTTCTCCTAGATGATCTCTGACAAAAAGGCCTGATTTTCCCATCTGCAGAATTGGCAAAGTGAGATTTGCTCCCTGTTGGGTTCTTGTCTCATGACTCTGAGAGGTAGAAATGCCATAGAGAGTTTGGGAAGACAAGTGACATCTCACCAACCAAGCCTGGCTAGGGGATGGTGGGGCACGCATGGGATTCACAGCTCCCCTTCCCCTTCTCCAGGCTTTACCTCTCAAGCCATCCTGTCCTACCCTGCGGGGTCTCACTGCCTGCAGCAGGGCTATGGACGGGAAAGTGGCAGTGCACAAGAATGCGGTCTCCTGGATCCCTGAGGAAGGAGAAACGTTGGACCAGGAAGGCAAGGACCAGGTGAAGGATCGGGGCCAATGGACCAACAAGATGGAGTTTGTGCTGTCAGTGGCCGGGGAGATCATTGGGCTGGGCAATGTCTGGAGGTTTCCCTATCTCTGCTACAAAAATGGAGGTGGTGAGTTCACTTGGAGGTAGGCGTGGTGGGGAGTTATGCCTTGACAGCTGGGCAGTGCCACCTGGGCCCCACCTCCTGGGCAGTGCGGTGAAATGGAAGGAGGTGTGTCATGAAGTTGGAGGGCTCAGCAGAGCCTCCGTGTCCCTCACAGTGATGTTTAAATGATGCCACAGGTAGGACCAAGGAATCAGGGCTCTTAATAAGCTCCTTTATTATTCTATGTAAATGCCAGTGGCTGGTCGAATTTATTCATCCATTCAAATGCTGCTCTTTCAAGCCTGTCACTTGCCAAACACTGTTCTAGACACAGCACAGAGCTTTCTGCATGTTACCTTTTGGTGAAGGCGAGCAGACCTCAGACAAGAAAAATGTGTGTGTCAAATGGTAATGAGTGGAGCAATGAGAAGTAAAGAGGAAGGAGGGATAGGGTACATCAGATCACAGGGAGGGGCTGAGGGGTTGGAAATGTGAAATAGGGTGACCCGGAAAGGTTTCTACCGAGAAGGAAACATTGAGCAGAGACTTGATATGGTGAAAGAGTGAGTCTTATACATGAATAAGGAATATTTTTGACAGAGAAGCAGTAAGTGCAAAGGCCCTGGGGCAACAGCACAATTGATCAACAGTGAGGAGGCAGCAGGGAGAGGAATGAGGAGATAATAGGGAATGAACTCAGAGAGGTGATGGGCTCAGATGTTGTAGGCTTTGTTTTGAGAAAATGGGAGCCATGGAAGAATTCTAATTGGAGAAATGATAGCTTGTTTGTCTATGATTTTTTTCAAATGAAAGAAACATAATTTTACGATTTAGCAGCCCTGATGAAAATTAGCAGCATCATGGTGCAGAGGGGTCACATTATTTTTAAAATGCACAATTAATAGATTGTAGTATATTCACGGAATTGGGCAACCACCACCGCCACCACCAGCATTTTAGAACATTTTTCACATTCTGAAGATTCAGTGCCCAGGAACACTCACCTCTCACCCCCCATTTCCTTCTGCTACAGCTCTTGGAAAATCACTAACTTGCCATCTGTCTCTAGGCGTCTGTCTACTGGAGCTATTTCCTGTTCATGAAACCCTTTACTCTGTCCTCCCCCGGGACCAGTCAGATTCATTTTTATCCCTTGAGATTAACTTTATTCTTCGTGGAGATTTGATATATGTCATAAATGTTAGAAATATTCCAGGAAGGTAGAAAAAGAAGCAATTCTCTAACATTTAGAGAAGAACCATTGCTTAGCAAACCCTTGCAAACACTATTCATACTGAACAAATATTTATCAAGTGTCTACTGTGTATCTTGCTATGTGTTTTAAACCTTAGTGTTATCATTACAAACTTCTTAAACCCAGGAGTGCAAAGAAACATCTGTGGGATTTTGTGGAATGGTCCGGGCTGTGGAGCTGAGTGGAGGCGGGGAATGATACTGGCCAGAGGTTAGGGAGGCAGGAAGGGCTGGTGGCTTATTTCCTTGTCCCAAGATACAATGTCATGGACACACGTGATCCTAGAAGCAGTGCTGAGGGTCAGCCAGCCCCAGCCCCCGTTTCACACAGGGGGATGCGCCCCCACCCAGAGCTGGCTGGACACATGCAGTGAGGCGGTTGGTGCCCTCCTCCCTGTGTGCACGTCACTCTGCCACCCGGAACAACAGAACATGAGGGCTAAGAAATGGGGCCTCTGGCTCTGCTGCCTGAGCCGGGTCATCTGTGAAGTGGTGAGACCAGAGAGCATGACGTCATAGATTAATGCACATATCAATGGTTTTTGCTGTAGGCTGGAGTGCTACTAATTCATTGTGGTAATCAGGCTGATCTCTACCTATGAGCCTTAATCAGCAGTTAAATATTCTTTCTACTAATATGTGTATGGTCAATGAACAGTTCTAGAGAGAAATCTTAGAGAAAGAGAGAAAGCATAGGAAAAATGAGGTTATTGATTTAATATAGCAATCTGTTATTTTAAAAGAAGACAGGAGCCTCAAAACTGGATCACCCTGAAGAAACAGTTCACCTCAAACTATAACTATATGTTAGTGGCTCAGGAAAGACACTTGGCAGGGACAACAAGGCATAGCTCGGGGGAGGATTTTAACCACAAGCATCAAGTACCTATCTGTAAAGATCCCTGTGGGACATCACTGGCTGCTCATGTCTGTACCCTGGACAGACCCGAGAGGGCTCAGACCGAGGGCCCCTCTATGGCAAGGGATTGGTAGATGAATTTGAGGGGAGGTGTTCACAGCACTGGTGTGGGAAACCCCAGCAGAAAGCTGAAGATGGAGGATACCCCTACACTCCATCCAGAGACTACCTCCTCCCTCCCCACAAATATTCAGACCTGGGGACCACCCTGAGGGTGGCCACTCTGGGCCTCCTGAGTCCCCCCATCTTCTGACAGGGCAAACCTCCACAGCCCAAGGACAGCACTGAAGCTACCTCCTTTGCTAAAGGACAGGACCTCCTAAGGCTTATGGGAAGAGGCCTGCAGGCTTCTGTAGAGCATCTCCTCAGGGTACTTTTGGTGAACACTGAGCCATGTCCTTTTCCCGGACACTGCCCCTCGGCATAGCAGCTGTGGCCATCCAAGTAATGCAAAGCCAAGCCAGTATGTTCAGCGGTGCTCTGAAAAGGCAAATGTGAGCTTAAGACTTCAGGCTCAGTGGAGTGGAGAGTTAGGAGCTTGCTATGGTTCCCTTAAGAGTTTGGGAGGGCAATTGGAAAATGCATAACGAAGACCTTTTGAAAATGTGCATACAAGCTGGGCCCGGTGGCGTGTGCCTGTAATCTCAGCACTCTTGGGAGACTGAGGCAGGAAGATCATTACAAGTTCGAAGTCAGCCTGGGCTACGTGTGAATTCAAGGTTACCCTGAACTGCATAGCAAGACCTTGTCTCAAAAAGAAGAAAGACACTATGCATACCACAAAGGTGGACCTCAACAGGTGAATGGACGAGCAGGGTATGGTGGGAACATTGCTTAGCATTTTACAAGAAGGAAGTCTAATACGCGTTATGATGTGGGTGAATTTTGAAGATATGCTGAGTGGAATAAGCCAAATAGCAAAGGCTAAATACTACATGGTACCTTGTGTGTGAGGTGTGAAGAGCAGAGAAAGGCAGGAGTGAGAAAGTTGCCTGGGGCTGGGAGGGGAGGGGAGTTACTCTCTGCACGTGTAGTTTAGGTTTGGGAAGACAAAGAAGTTCTAGAGGTAGATGATGGCAATGGTTGTACACTGTTGTGAATGTGCTGGATGCCACTAAAGTGTATACTTAAAAATATATGTTGGTGGTGCACACCTGTAATCCCACACTCGGGAGGCTGAGGCAGGAGGATCGCTGTGAGTTCGAGACCAGTCTGGGCTATATAGTGAGTTCCAGGCCAGTCTCAACTACATAGCAAGACCCTGTCTCAAAAAAAACAAAAAAGAATACATGAGCTTGCTGGATGTGGTAGCACTCTCCTGTGTGGTAGTGCACCCTGCTGTGATCCCAACACTCAGGAGCTGAGGCAGTCGAATTGTCTAGAGTTCAAGGCCAGTTTGGGCTACATAGTGAGTTCCAGGTCAGTCTCAACTACATCGTGAGACCCTGTCTCAAAAAACAAAACAAAACAAATATATGTGTGTGTGTGTGTGTGTGTGTTGGGGTTTTTTTTAACCACACACATAAAAGCAAAAAAAAAAAAAAAGTGCATATCTTTGGGATTAGCAATTCCTTTATTGGAAATTTGTGAATAAGGCGGAGGGATGGACAGTGGTCTTCACTAGAATAGTGGCAGTATTTCTAATGAAACTGAAACCTGTGGTGATAAGGTACTGATGAAATGCATGCGACTTCCATGGAGTAGAATACTATGCAGCTATCAAAATGATGGCATAAGATATATATTTATTGATAGGAAGAGATTCATGGTATAAAATTAAAAAATGGTTATCAGATAATACACAGCAGGTTCTCATTTTGCAAAGAAGAAATATATGTGTACTTATGAGAAGTCTGGAAGGAGGCTAGGATATAAGTCTCACTGGTATACCACAGGCCTAATGTGTGCAAAAGTTCAGGAAACAAAGAAAGAATATGCAGTACTCTGTCCTTTCCTTCCATCTGTTCTATTTCTGTACACAATAAAGGGGACTGCTTCAGAGGCACTGGGATACTGTAATGAGGGGCACAGCCTCAGGATGAGTTGCCTGGGTTGGTACTTCTGTTGCCTCATTTAGGCTTCCGTCTTCGCCTCTTTAACCTGGCATTTGGTTTTCTCATGTGTGACATGGTTACAACAACAGTGCCTTAGCACAGGAGGCTGTTTTGTGAGGCGCTCATGTTGGTGAAGCCTTCGAAGAGGATATGAGACGGGGTAAGCACCACATAAGTACTGGGTGTGCTAACTGGGCATTGAACAAGAACCCAGGCACTCACAGCTGAGCCTCTGAGCTGCGGATGCTGCCACACGACTCATACCCAAAAGGCGCCCCGGGCCTGGCGGTGTCTCCATCCCTGGCTGTGCCCGGGGCCTGGCTCCCCTGGTGCCTGTAGGTCAGTGCCTAACCCTAGCCGCATGGCAGCCTTGTCTGCTGGGAATCTGTGCAGACCAGACTGCCTCCAAAAATAGAAGCGGGAAAATGATATTTTCAAGGTGTTTTTGCTTGTTTGTTTTTCTCTGAAATGTACCAAACTTGAGAATTTAATAGGTACATCATATTAGACACACCACATGTTTTTGTTCCAAAAATAATACATTGACTGGATTTGTAAGGCGCACTAAGAAAACAGACAGTGTGCGTGTTAGGGTCTCTGCCGCAAGGTTCGTTCGTCTCCATTCCGAGGTCTTGCCCACCTCCTACACAGTTCAGGTCAAAGCATCTTTGCCCACTTGTGCCGAGGAAGGTTTGTGGGAGGAGGCTGAGGATTCAGACGCTGCGGGACAGGGGGCTAGGAGGGCCTAGGGTGAAAGGGCCGAGGTGTGGCTCAGCCCCGGCCTTTCTCCTCCACAGGAGCCTTCTTCGTGCCCTACTTCATCTTCTTCCTCAGCTGCGGCATCCCAGTGTTCTTCCTGGAGGTGGCGCTGGGCCAGTACACCAGCCAGGGGAGCGTCACAGCCTGGAGGAAGATCTGCCCCCTCTTCCAGGGTGAGTCTCCTCCCTCCCCTTCCTGAAGCGCCCTTCAGCCATCCGTCCCTCCCTTCCTTACCGCCCATCCACCCCTTCATCCTAGCCTGTGCGAATTGCACAGTCAGGCTCTGGGGCCCGGAGCTCATAAAGCCTGGGGAAGGGTGTGCTTCAGGAAAAACAAGGCGAAGTTACAAATACGAACTGAGTCGCACAGCTTGGAAGGGGTCTGTGTGAGTATTACGGTATGGTTCCAGCGGGGCTCCAGAGTGTGATGGTAGGGGCGATGGCGGCGGTGCTATCTAGCATCTGTGGGGCCCTAGCCTGGGTCAGGCTCAGGTAAGCACTTAGCTGTGTTTTCTCATCCAACCTCCAGCAAGTCTATGGAGCCATTTTGTAAGTAAGGAAAACAGGATTCACAGAAGTTTTGTCTACCTTGCCCTTCCTCTCTTGACTGTTTTAAGAGACCACTCCTGCTCCTAGCTCTCTAGCGCTGTTGGCACTAATGTGAGTTGGTGGGGTGTTTTCCCCCGTCCCTATTTAGGTGATGGAACCAGTTCCATGGGGGCCAGTGAGATGCCCAAGGGTCCCCTGTCCCTGAGAGGTTCCTTGGAAATTTAAAACGCAAAGAGGGTTCGTCCCCTCTTCCCAATGCCTCAGGAGACCCCAGGCACCAAGCTATCTGGGTCCCCCAGGCAGGGGCCAGACCGAATGTGCTGAGCAGAAATGGGCATGAATGAGGCACACTGGCTCGTGTGGACTGGGGAGGACAAGACCAGGGGACCCTGGAGAGGAGTGGGGAGGGCTGGGCAGGGAGTGGCATGGCCACCATGTCTCTGCTCACAAGTTCACGGTGTTGCAAGTGTCTTGATGCTCTGCTGCGGGCCCAGCAGTGCTCCCAGCTGGGTCCCGTCTCCAGGTCCAGGTAAGCTCCTGGTTAGCACTAGCAGGGCTGGCTCTCCAGATGCAATGGCCGCCTTATAGGGGTGATGTGGACAGGGTGGGCATGGGACAGGGTAGGGGAGAGATGGCTGCTCCTTCCTTTTCCAAGTTTCCAGGCATCCTAGGGGCCTGGGCACCCTGGGAGAGGGGCACTCAAGGTATGTGCTGCTGTGGGGACTTGCCTGCTGCTGTCCACCTGTGAGCTGCCCGACAGCCTACTCACTCCCACGTTCCCTCCCCACCTTCGCTCCTTAGCCTGCATTCGCACAAGCTTCTGAGTCCCCCATCATTCCTGCTTTCCTGCTCCCTGACCAGCCAGTACTATTGGAATCATGTCCCCCATTCCAGGGGTGGGCACCGGTGTTTACCAGACTGACTGCTGCCCTGTTCAGTCTGGTTAAGTCCTTGGGAGTGCCGCAGCTGCTTGTTTGTGTGCACGACTGGGCTTGTGTGTGCTGTAAATATCCCACAGGCTGCCCCTGCTACACCAGAGATTTCTCAGCCATCCCATGGCAGCCCAAGGCCTCCTCCTGCAGAACCTGCTGCCTGGTGATGGGCAGGCCACCACAGGGAACCTATCCTTCACCAGGCCAATCAGAAAAGACCGTCTGAGTGGGCTCTTCCAGCACAGGCAGTTTGGCTCTCAGTCAGCACTGACATATGCTAGCCCACAGGTCCACAGTCTTTCACTAAGTAGCACCTGCTAGTACTCTGTACAAATAGGGGCAGGGAGAGCTGGGTGGGCAGGCCCTGGCCCCTCCCCACTCCCCACAGCTTCCACACTCTCTCTCCTCCTGCTCCTCCTCCTCTTCATCCCCTTTTCTTCTTCTCCCCACCGCATCCTTCTTCTTTTGGTATTACTGGAGATTGAACCCAGGACTTTCACACTGAGCTGCATCCCTGTCCTTTTTTATTGCACTTTTTATTTTGAGATAGAGTCTCACTCAATTACTCAGTTCCACGGGCTGGGCTCAAACTTACAATCTTCCTGTCTCAGCTTTCCTCAGTGTTGGGATTATAAGCATGTGCCACTGTGCCCAGCTAACATGCTACTTCTTAAATGACTGTGCAAAATTCCAGTTTTATAGCGTGTGTTTGTTTCCACTGTGTATCGACCAACCAGAGCCTGAGTGCTAAGTGCTAAAATGGCACAGGACTGCAGTTCTTGACATGGGGACACTTCTCTCTTCTTGGTGGGTTTCTTGCTTTTTCTTATCCTCAGCCTGCTTCTTACTATCTCCCCGTCTTTACTAATTAGTTTGCCTGCCCCTTTTCATTTTACTAGCAGTATATTATTGTAATAGAAAAATAGAAAATGCAGATAGGCAGAAGAAAAAACTTGAAGAAGTGAACTGAAATCTTAGCACTCAGAGAGAACTACTTAATAATTTGCAGAGGCGCGATCCTCCTGGAGTTTTTTCATAAAAATATATTCCAATACACATTACAAAAATGAGGAAATGCATATGGTAGTGATCTGTAACCTGTTTTTCTTAGAAAAAAACGTGAACAGCTTTTCATGACGATGAATAAACCCTGGTGGTTTTCTCTGTGGAGCACCCAAGACAGCTAACAGAACTGGTTGTTTCTCTGTGACTTTTCTGCTAATGTTGATCCCCCCTCCCCAAGGCATTGGCATAGCATCCGTGGTCATTGAGTCCTATTTGAACATCTACTACATCATCATCCTGGCCTGGGCCCTCTTCTACCTGTTCAGCTCCTTCACCTCCGAGCTGCCCTGGACGACATGTACCAATCCCTGGAACACAGGTGCCCATCTTTTCTGCCCTGGGATGGGGTCTTTCCTTCTAAGCCAGGTGGCAGGTGATGGCCAGATATGATGACAGGACATGACAGAACTTGCTGGCTGGCCCTCCTGTGGGACCTTGGGCCAGTCTCAGGAAGGATTAGTGTGTCTGTGGGAACCTGGTGGGACTAGGTCATGCGGGCCATTGTCATTGCCTACGTATTTACTCACTTGACAAATATTTGCTGGGCACCTATTATGCACCATTGCTGTGCCAGGACTGGGCAAGGGCAATGTGGACTCACCTCACTGAGTTTATAGTCTAGTGGTAGAAATAGACAAATTAATAAAATAAGTACCCCATCACCATGGGAAAAAGAAACAGTACAGAACTATATAGTAATGGGAGGGAGGAGTGAAGGGTGGGAAGGCCTACCTCTGGGCAACATTCCATGCCAGAGAAGAGCGCGCATGGACCTGATCCCTTGTCTACAGACTGAAGACATGGGGGACAAGTGGGCAGGTCAGGGATGGCAGGAAGCTCTTATTATAAGGCCAGAGGGTCAGAGACCAGAATATGAGGGCATTTATCCCCATTGTGTTCCCCACTGATGCATCCCACTATGTCCCCAACAGAGCATTGTGTAGACTTTTTGAACCACTCGGGAGCCAGCACAGAGACCCATTCTGAGAACTTCACCTCTGCTGTCATGGAATTCTGGGAGTAGGTGCTGGGCCTGGTTGCCACATGCCAGGGGGCCCTAAGCAGAGAGTCTGGATGTTGGAGCTGTGCAAGAGTGAATGTTTGGGGTGCAAGATTTAGATTCTGTGCGTGCTTTCTAGCACTCACCCACCTCTGCTCTGACCCCACATCACTGAGGGATGAGGGCGCAACTTCACACCCACTCATGCCTTCTCACCTGCACCCACTAATTTACCCCAAACCCACAAGTGTCCACCTAGACTCCCATTTCCCATCTTTATCCCCTTCCATTCTCCCATTTACCCCACTCCACACTCACGTGCCATTGCATGCGTGTCCAGTATGTGCTGGAAACAGCCTGTGCAGCCTCGGGGAGCTGATGTTTGTGTCTCTTCCAAACTCTGTGCAGTGACGTCCTGCTGGCACTCGATGTCAGCCAGGGTAGATTTATGGCACAGAAGTAGGTGCGCTCACTTGCTCACCCTCCCACACAACTGCATGCATCTCCTCCACCACCTACCCCTCGCACCAACCTTACCCCCACACACTCGCCAACATTCGCATATGCTCTCACATGCACAGCCTCAGTTGGCTCACCTCGTACACTCCTTTAGATCCTAACCCGCACCCTGCTCTTCCCTTGATGCCCACTTCTTGCTGATCGCCCTGCGTCTATAAATATTCACTTTCTGTGCACTCATTCACACATCCTCACCACCCCCTCAATCTCTCTCTTTATCTCTCTGTGCAACAGAGAAATCGGGATGAGTTAGAAAGACACAGATACCTATGGGATTACGGTGATTTGGTCTTCTAACAGCCAGGGCCATACAGGCCACAGGTGGGAATATGGCATGGCCGCGGGAGAGGTCGGGAGGCTGGGGGTGTGGGAGCCTTGGGATATGAGATCTGTGGGTCAGTTCTGTGAATCAGGAGACTTGGTGACAGAGGCACATTGTTGCTCTTTAGCTTTCTCATCTGGTGATTTATTTTTCCCAATTCACCAGGAGACGGGTTCTGGGAATCACCTCGGGTATCCATGTTCTGGGGGCCCTGCGCTGGGAGCTGGCCCTGTGCCTCCTGCTCGCCTGGATCATCTGCTACTTCTGCATCTGGAAGGGCATCAAGTCCACAGGCAAGGTGAGAAGTCTGGCCCCTGGGAAGCGCTCTGTGGCCTAGAGTCCCTGGGGACACTTCAGTGGGTCCCTCTGGAGAGCTGAAGGAACGAGTTGTTTAAGAAAGAGATATGTGGTGAGAAGAGGCGAAGTCATAGGAGGCAGCATTCAGCTTGATATAAGAAAAGTCTTTCTTTTTAATACACTGTAAAAGACTCGTTTATGTAAGTAAATATTCAGAGCAAAATAAGACCCATTGAAAGCCCCACTGTTGGAGCAACAGTGAGCCTGTGGCAGTTTAGGTCTTCTAATACTTGCCGGCTTTTGCTCTGTTCCTCCTTGTTTCTTTTGTGTGTGTCGGTATCCATTATGTATATGTAGTACACAATCAGGATCACATATCCTGCAGCTCGCTTGCATGAATTTTTAGTATGAATCAGAATTTTCTTTGGGGTGGTAAATTGCTAGTCACTGAAGGGGTTAGGGCCAGAAATGGACAATAGTGGCTTGTTCTACAGAGAAAATTCAGGTTTGAACATCATTTCCACCCCAGAGAGCAGAGATGGTGCTTCATGCTGCTGGAGCCAGGAAAGGGAAGGGAGCTGACTGTTCCCATTAGCCCTACCTTTTGGCTGTTCCCAGAGCAGCCTCCTTTTCCCAGAATTGTGGAAATAAAAGCAGTAGTAATGATAAGAACCATAGCAGTAGTAACAATGACACAGACAAGGTTGCTGTTAGGTGGGGAGCCAAGCCTGGTCATACAGAATGGGGGACCCTGTATGTGTCTGGGGACCTGGTGCTCAGGCCACCATGTCTCCCCCAACTGTGAGCCTGGAAAGGTACAGTCCAAACCTCCTCACAGATCACCGTACAAATCTGGCCACCCCACCGCCAGGAGTTGTCCTGCCCTCCATGGGGCCATGGGGGAGAACCAGGATAAAGGATAAGGCAGACCCGAGTCTTGATTTTAAAAGTCTTTGAAGTGTTAGGCCACACACACACCGCCCCCCCCCACACTGATGTGTATTTCACACCCTGCTGGGGACTAAGGCCCACTGGAATGTGCACAGGGAGGTGTGGAAAGTTTTACTGCTCACTCTTCGGCTGTCTCTGTGGGCTTCGAGTCTGATGACGAGCGTGGTGTGACTGTGCTGCCTGGGGAGGGGGCAGAACTCCTGGAGACGTCTTTCTCCGATTCCCAACAGCAGTGTCCTTGGCTGGCTTCCCTCCAGGTTGTTTATTTCACTGCCACGTTTCCCTACCTGATGCTGATCGTCCTGCTGATCCGAGGTGTCACCCTCCCCGGAGCCTATGAGGGCATCATCTATTACCTGAAGCCAGATCTGCTCCGTCTCAGAGACCCCCAGGTGGGCACATGCGGGGACTACTGGCACAAGTGTCTTCTGCCCCAAGATTTGAAAGTTCCCTACTGATTTAACTTTGGTTTAAAAGCATTAGATGCCCACTGGAGGAAAATTAGACAACACAAGAGAAAACTGAACAAGGAACCAAAATCTCTTAGAATCACATATAATCTCTTTGCATTTTAACATATTTATTCCAACCTTTTTTCTTGGTGGTATGTGTTTTAGCATAGTTGAGATCATTATATTTAGAGACATATATCCCTTTGTCACTTATATTATGAGCCTTTTTCTGGTGACTGACATCTGTGAATGCCTTTTTTTTCTAGTACTGGAGATCCAACTCAGGACCTTGTGTTGCTAGGCAGGCACAGCACCCCTGAGCTAAATCCCAGCCCTGTAAATGTCATTTTTAACATCCTTGTAATAATTCTTCCATCCATCATTCGTTCATTTATTGAATAAAAGTGCACTGAGGATGCATTAATAATGTAGTGCCAGGAAGGAGTACGCACACAACTGGCCACCTCCCTGCTCCCTCTCAGAGCCCATACCCTGGCCTCAGACAGTTGGATGATACTTGTCTTTAGATATGCAGCCATCTCTCAGTATCTGAGAGGAACCGTCCACAATACCAAAGCCCACTGAGGTTCAGGGTATTTATTTAAAATGGCACAGTATTTGTATATAATCTTTGCACATCTTCCTGTACACCTTAAGTCATATTTGGATTACTTATAGTACTTACTACCATGGAAATGCTGTACAGATACTTGTTATGCTGTATTGTTTAGGGAATAATGACAAAGGAAAAAGTCTGTATGTGTCAGTGCAGGTGCAATTTTTTCCTGAATATTTTCAATCCATGCTTGGTTGAAACTTCTGATGTAAAACCCACAGTTTTGAAGGGCCAACCAATTGTACTGAGTTAGGGAAATACAGATTTTTACCACCACTGATCAAGGATATGCTTTTTCTGCAAGGGCCTTGTGAGATTTGACTGTAATTTATTTTAATTTTTGATAACTTGATTGGTCCAAGTAGTCTAACTTTATAGTTTTAATTTTTTATTATGGACAAGGTTAGACACTTCCCATATTTTGATTACCCATTTGCTTTTCCTCTAAAACTTGTCTGAGCACATTTTTGCCCACCCCACCCCCCGAAGTCTCAGTGGCTTTCATTTTGTTTTATGAAGTGGCCTCTGCATCAGGTCACCACTGCCTAAGGTGTTGCATGTGTACGCTAGTTCAATGAATGTGCACTAGTTGAATGAATACAAGTGACTCTTGGCTCTGCAGATGAGCCTTGCTGTTTTAGGGACAGTCTAAATAGCGCACATATATTCAGTGTCTCAGAAGTGCTCCTGGAGCCTGACTGACAGGGGGCCCTGCCTATGAGAAGGCCCTGTGGAGAGAAGGGAGGACAGGTTCATGGCAGTAGGACAGGTGTGACTCTCAGGGATGCTGAGGAGCAGATCTGCTGTGGGGAAGGTCTGCTGCTGCCCATCCTGGCCCCAGACCCTGGCCATTCTCCTTCCTACTCTACCACTTTCTTGGACCTCATGCAGGTGTGGATGGATGCAGGCACCCAGATCTTCTTCTCCTTTGCCATTTGCCAGGGCTGCCTCACTGCTCTGGGCAGCTACAACAAGTACCACAACAACTGCTACAGGTGAGAGCTGGTGGGGCTGTACAGGCGCTGGTGACCTGGCCTCTGTGGATGTTGAAGAGGGTGGGGTCCTGGAGGTGGGCTTTCGGACCAAGACCCTTGTCCTGGGCCCTAGGTGTGGCAAGCTGTGTCAGTCTGAGACTGTGGCTCCTTCCCAGATTGAATTCTTCCCCCTTGGCCTTCCTCTCCTCTCCCTGACACCCAATTACCACCCACCCAAATATCCCTGGTCCTTTTTTCTCCAACCTCTTTCCCTTCCTTTGCTCTCTTTTTCACTCTCTTGCTGTCTTTTGATCTCTCTTCCCACAATGGGCTCCTTCTCATTTTTGCATTCACCCCCTCCTGCAGGGACTCCATTGCCCTCTGCTTCTTGAACAGTGTCACCAGCTTTGTGGCCGGCTTTGTGGTCTTCTCCATCTTGGGCTTCATGTCCCAAGAGCAGGGAGTGCCCATTTCTGAAGTGGCTGAGTCAGGTAGGTGCCCTCATACTGCCTGGGCTCTGAAGGGAAGGGGTAGGGAGTCATAACATGAAGATCCTCCCAGCCAAGAGGCAGGGGTCCAAGAGCTGGGTGGTAAGAACCTTTTAGCCTCGAGGGCAAAGCATGGCACAAGGAGGGCTTCCAGAACCACTGAGGGAGAAGGAAGAGGGGGTGGATAGGCCAAACGAGTGACGTCTGTCTGCTCTGTTAATAATGGATGGACCCATTCCACCCTCCTGAAGCATCCACCATGCCACACCTGTGTGCACACACACACATACACATCTGTGGGCGTGCATACAGACATGCGCAGATACATGCAGGCACACACAGGCACACGGGCACATATCGACACACACAGATACACAGATGCACACAGACACAAATGACATACACGTGGCTGCTCAGAGAGATACACCAAATATAAGCAATCCTGAGAGGGCTATAGCGGAGTGCTCTGTCCCTGCAGGTCCCGGTCTGGCCTTCATTGCATTCCCTAAGGCTGTGACCATGATGCCTTTATCCCAGCTGTGGTCCTGCCTCTTTTTCATCATGCTGTTATTCCTAGGCCTGGACAGCCAGGTATGTCACCCCAGACCCACTCTGCCCTGGTGACCTTCTTTCTAGGTTCTGTATATCTTGGCGTTACCTTTCCCTCACTTCTTTTCTTAGGTCTGCTCTGCTGTCCTGGCCTTTTGCTTGGGGTTGGGTGGATGGCCCCAGGCCTTGAGACTTCCTCTGTGAAGGTGCTATCCGCTTTGTTCCCAAGGCTATGTCCCAAATATCCTTCAGCCTTCTCCCACCTGCCCACCCCCAGTCCCTGCCTTGGGCTGTGCCCCCTCCAACCTTCTCTGCTGGGACATCCTTGTTGTGGAGTGTGGCCAAGAGTAGGCTGGCCTTCTGCAGACCCTGTCCTTTCTGCCTTCAGTGTCCTCCTCCTGTGAGCCAGAGCTAGGGAGAGAAGCCAGGGCAGGACTTGCCGGAGATGGCCCGGGCTGGAGGACAGTGTCCGGCCCCACCCTCACCCCTCCTCTCCTGGCCCCCAGTTTGTCTGCATGGAATGCCTGGTGACAGCCTCTGTGGACATGTTCCCCCAGCAGCTCCGGAAGCGTGGGCGGCGTGAGCTGCTGATCCTTGGCATCTCGATCGTGTGCTACTTGGTAGGGCTCTTTCTGGTCACTGAGGTGAGTGTGGTGGGCAGTCTGTGGTGCGGCTGTGGCAGGAGAGAGCCACAGGGCAATGCAGACCCTTCTTAGAGTCACTGTGTCCGCGGCTGTGAGGTGGAGTGTGGACATTTCCTCGGCCTCTCTCAGAACGAGGCTGTCGGGCCATGCAGGCAATGGTATCTGCTGTTTGTTAGGTGCCCTTTGGCAGCAGGTGGCCTCCTTTGGCAGGAGGAGGGGAGCAATGTATGAGGGTGGGTCACTGCGAAGTCTCTTTTGGCTTCGGGCTGTGCTAATGGCATTGTCAGGAATGTTCCTTTTCTTGCTGTGGCTATACTTTCTTCTGATAACTTCATTCTCCTAGAGGTTTTCCTCCTGTGAAATCAAGGCAGGCTGCTCTTCTTCCAGTAACCCCTTCTCCTTAGTAGAAAGACGGGTCTTTTTTGGCCAGGGTTGTAGCTCATTTGTGCCGCATCTGCCTGGCAAGCTCAAGGTCCTTAATGCGATCTCTAGTACAAAACAAACAAACAAACAAAGACAGGGCTTTTTCTTGAGAGTGTGGCACATATCCAGGCCGTGACTTATTCAGGCCTGGAGCAAAGTGAGGAACAGAGTGAGGTGGTGCCAGTTCCCAGAAGACAGGATACTGGGCAGACAAAACAATGTGTACCCACTACAGATCATAGTGTCCTCCCAGGCATCAGGGATTATCGTCCTGAGGTAAATGAGGGCCTGAAGACAGAACATGCTGGGCAAACGCCTCTTACACGCAAGCCCAGACTTCCTAGGAGCCGTGCAGGATGGTATCCTACATGGGCATGTGCCACCTTGCAGAGGAGAGACATCCATTGCCCCAATCCACTGGGCCTCAGTTGCACTCCCTCTTCTGCAGGGCGGGATGTACCTCTTCCAGCTCTTTGACTACTACGCCTGCAGTGGCATCTGCCTGCTCTTTCTCTCCGTGTTTGAAGTCATCTGCATCAGCTGGGTGTACGGTGAGTGGGGGCAGTGTGGCTGGGGCCAGGGGGAGGTCTGCGGAGATGAGAGACTTTGCCATGCTTTTCTGCTCCATTGTCCTGGAAGGGCGACCATGGCCAGGAAGCCTGGCATCTCACTGAGGCAGTAGAGCTAAGGGTTTCTCTGAATAGAGAGGAGAATGATAAATAACCTCACAGAGCGTTCTAGAAGTGCAGGCTGTTTGAGGCTCTTCACCAGGGGAACCTCAGTCAGAAAGGACCTTTAGGGCTGTGCTGTGACCCCCACAAATTCCTGCATTCCATCAATGCTTATAGTCCCAACTGTTCAGGAGGCTGAGACAGCTGTATGGCAAGTTTGAGCCCAACTTGGGCAATTTAGCTAGACCTTGACTCAAAAAGGGGCAGGGGGATCTGGGATATAGCTCAGTAGCCCCTGGGTTCAATCCCAGTACTGAAAAAACAAAAAAAGCAGCAGCAGCAGCTCATTTCCCATTCCCCTTTCCAATAACTATGCTGTCACCCAGAGTCTGAATAGTTGCATACTAGGAAGATCATTCTTGTGTTTTTGGAGTAGGCTTTTCCACTGTGGCCACTACACATTTCTTTCTTATAGCGAGGCGAGTTCTGCCTTCCACTGACTTCCACCAACAGCCTTGGGCCTTGGGCACCGAGATAACTAAGCAGAATGCTGAATGCTTTACTACCCTTGTCACCATCACACCTGATGACAACGGGAGAAGAAACTTCATTGTTGAACATTAGTGTGTGCCGAGCGCCACGCCTGTCTCACATGCTGTCACACTCTCCAAACCACAGCCCTTGCAGGGGAAAGAGAGGCTCAGAGAGGTTGGGTCTTTTGCCTAAGTTCACACTGTAAGTGCAGGAACCATTATCCTACTCTGGGTCTACTGGTCCCACTGTACGGGGTTGGGGGACACAGTGCCAATGTCAAAGGCTCAGGGCAGAGAGAATAAGTTGACGTCACATATTAGGGTCTCAGGAGGAGCCATGAAAGGGAGGTTTATGATTTTACTATCCCCTAAGCCTTATTTGTGTTCTTTCCTCTCCTTGATGTTGTCTCCTACTTTCTCTCCTCAAGTGGCTGCTGTCTTTCTGATTTTCCCCTACCCTTTTTCAAATCTTGTTCTCAGAGAGGATCTGATAAACTCAATCACAGTGAGCTATACATGGCTAATAATCCTTAATATGTTACACTCACGCAGCAACATACAACTTTTAACTTTGGCTCTTAGAAATCAAAGCAACTCCAGCTACTTGGGAGGCTGCGGCATGAGGATTTCCAAGTTTGAGACCCTGTGTCAAAATAAAAATTTTAAAAGAGCTGAGCATGTAGTTCAGTGGCAAAGCTTCCCCTACTTAGCATATCTGAAAGAAGTTAATTAACTTATATTCACCAAACTCCAAATTCCATCTGATACTGTCTCTATTTTATTTTTATTAGACACTACTGTAGATGAGTCACATTTCAAAAGTTGTAATTTTCTATTCTTCCAAAAAAAAAAAAAAAAAAAAAAAAAAAAAAAGAAGAAGAAGAAAAGTCAAAACAATGGTTCATTATTATGGGGTTTCATGCATCGTGCTCAGTGAGTACATACTGGGAGGTATAAGGGAGCTATCTTTACCAATGAGTGGTGCTGTGCTTTACCAATGAGAGGCCTGGCTCTGCATAGAAATAGAGCAATTGTGGAAACCTAAGGTCGTTAAACAAATAAGCCCAAACAAGTCAGTATTTTTGCCAAGCCCAGACCACTCTTCCTACCATGCTTTATTGAGGGCTCAGAATTGGTTTCTCTGTGTCTGGTGCCTTGTGACCCGCAGCTTTCTAGTCTCATCTCAATTTATATGACAGCCTTAAGCAGCCGAAACCCTTGACCTATTGACTTGAACCAGATTTCTCTCTGCTGCATAGGTAAATAAGCATTTGAATGGCCACTGAACCTGGTTTAGGCTTACACCACTCTTTTGTGGTTAGGACATCAGGGTGTCCTAGATAGGGAGGCAAGAGAGGGTTTATTAGTGAGGTCCCTCTGCACCTCCACTTGTAACCAGGTACCAGAAATGGATGGCATTCACAAAGCCTGTTACAGTTTCCTGTTAAAGGGTTGGGGGTTGGGGATTTAGCTCAGCGGTTTGGTGGCCTGCCTTGTAAGTGCAAGGACCCGAGTTCGATCCCTGGTACCGAAAAAAAAAGGGTGTGTAGGGAAGAGCACAAACCAGGCAAGTCTTCCCCAAAGGCCCTTGAAGTTGTTTTTCCCCTCTGGTTCTCACACTCTCCCCTCATTGTGCCTGGACAGGAGCAGACCGTTTCTATGACAACATTGAGGACATGATTGGCTACCGGCCCTGGCCACTGGTGAAGATCTCCTGGCTCTTCCTGACCCCGGCACTTTGCTTGGTATGTGCCCACCCCTCATCCCTTAATGCCTCCTGTCACCAGAAGACCCAGGGAGTTGGAGGGGGCGTGCCTGCTTTTATTTCCACATCCTCTCTCTGCCTCTGACTTTCCTCCTGCTTTGGTTCTTGGGAGTGGTACCTTGGGCTGTGATTTGCAGCGAATTTTACTGTCTCACCTGATGACTCTCCTCCACCCTGGCCTGTGTCAATAGGGGGAAACCTCCATGCCCTTGTCTCACCTGTACTTGCCGTTCCTCATTCCAGGCCACCTTCCTCTTCTCCCTGAGCAAGCACACGCCGCTCACATACAACAACGTTTATGTCTACCCTCCCTGGGGCTACTCCATTGGCTGGTTCTTGGCCTTTTCCTCCATGGCCTGTGTTCCTCTCTTCATGGTTATCACCCTCCTGAAGACCCAGGGTTCCTTCAAGAAGGTAGGTGGCTGTCGGGAGTGGTGGCACACACTTGTAATCCCAGCACTCTGGGAGGTTGAGGAAGAAGATTTGAAAGTTCAAGCCCCACCTAGCAACTTAGTGGGACCTTATCTCAAAATAAGATTTAAAAGGGCTGGGGATATAGCTCAATGCAGAGGTCCTGGGTTCAATCCCAAGTACTGAGAAGAAGAAGAAAAAAAAAAGACAGTTGGCCAGGGGAGGTGACCCAGGGAAGCAGGGTGCTAAGAGAGGTAGGCTGAGTGTACACACTTGTTCTGAGCACAGGCAGCCTTGCCACTGTGTGGAACTTTAAACAAAAGGGCCTTTGACAACCAGTCTATGGCTTTATTTCAGAAATGTTCTTAAAAGTCATAGAATCCTCATCTTCAGAATCTGACCCCCAGCAGAACATGTGAACAAGGTAACCAAGTGCAAAACACTAAAGGCATAAGGAGAAACTAAGTCACAAACAACACAAAGGAGCCTAGACACAGGAAGTTTAACAAGCACAGACATTAAATTGCACTCCTAAAATTGTGCAGGTAGTTGATAGCAGAGCCAGGTCTGGAAGCTGGGAAGTTCACACCTCGATCACCTTCTATTGCCTCTTTTTCCTTCTGGAAACATCCATTCCTTTGTCTACATGTGCCTGGCTCCGTGCTAGGCCCTGGCGGTGCACAGCAGGATGGCTTCTGCCCCTCTCACCAGCAGTGCCACTCAGTGCCTCTCCTCTTTGCAGCGCCTGTGCCAGCTCATCATCCCTGATCCCAGCCTGCCACAGCCCAGGAGACACCTACACCTGGACAGCAGCCCCAGTCAAGACTACAGACCGTTCCCACTGAAGGAAGGACTCATCGCTGGAGAGAAGGAGACTGAACTATAGGAAGGGCCAGGGCCCAGAGTCCAGGGGCCCTGGGGCCAGGAACCTGGGCAGAGCTACCCTTCTCCATGGATGACCTCAGCCTTCAGTCCCCTGCCTCTGTCCTGCTGAGACCTCCCGGAGACCCTGGGCCCAGCCAGAGGTCACTTCCCACCCTTTCCACCTCTGCTCCAAGCAGCTGCATTTGCATTGACTCTTACCCCAAGCCCCTGACTTCTCAGAGGAGAAAACCAAGGACCTGACAGACAAAGGAACTTTTTCAAGTTTGCGGGAGCAGCCTGAGACACACCTCAGACCTGATGTCCTTGGGCTTAGGCTGGTGTTCTTCCCATCGTGCCCTTGCCCTCGTTAATAAGCATGTACAATATGTATCCATTTTCCTATGAATGAATCTAATTCCTCATTCTTTATGGCTGAGTAATATTCCATTTTATAGAAAAACCACATCTTCTTTATCCAGTTTCCAACTGATGGGCAAATGGGCTGCTTCCAAGTTTTAGCTATGACAAACTCCTAAGTGAAATAAATAAGTCACACATGTGTAAATACCGAATAGTTTCTCTGGTGTGAATAAACTATAATAGTGCATAAGATCCTAATGATATAATGGACAATGTGAAACAGGAAGAAAGGGGCTAAAGGTGTAGGGAAAGTGGGAAGGGAAGGGGAAAGCTAATGAGGGAAAAGAAAAATATGAGAAAATGAAGAAAGGGAAATGAAGTGCTTGTAAATGGGGAGGGGAGGAGGGGTGAAGGGAGGGCAGGGACAAGGGGAAAAATGAGAACCAAGACCTGTCGTGTAAAGGTACACGATCCCAATGATGGATGTAACTGTACTGTGTACCTAAAGTGTACCAATAAACTCAGTGAGGGGGACAAATAAGCATGTACAGATTGCTGCCACCACGGCCTCTTCTTTGTCTCACCCCACACCGGCTTAGCCTCCCCAGGGGAGGGGAGGGAGTCCTGGGGCTGGTGCCCCACCTCAGGGTTCCTCTGCCTATGCCGTCTCATTTTCTCTCTGGATCTCTCCCTCTCGCTGCTTTTCATCTCCCCTTCCCCAGGGCACCAAGGGTCTCCCAAGGGAAGAGAGGCAGCGTGTCGGGTGTCCATGGCTCCATGGTCCCCTCCCCCCTAACTTCTGTTCTGTTTCCCACCTAATCCTTCCTCCCACGCACCTATGAGTCACAGCAGCTCCTCCCCGTGCATCCAGATGGGAAAGCAGACGATGTGGCGGACTGGAACACTTCAGGACAGTGGCCTGGGGGAATGGTGCATAGGTAGCTTTCACCCGGAGCCACTGCCCCACAGACCGAGAGACTTCTCTTCCAGGGCCCGGGACTGAGGGTTCTTCTGCCTGAGAGGGGGGCCCCTTGGTCACAGCAGATGCCCTGGATCCTGGCGACCCCTTCGGCCTCCTTCTGGTCTGCTCTGTGTACTAGTGCTCACCCCGCTGGTACCAAAGGAGGAGGACCAAGGGAAAGCACAGGGAAATTGCTTCTGCCAGTGCTCATTGTTGCCAGTTCAGGGTCTCACCAAAACCATCTATGGGGTGGGCATGGGCTCACTGCTGCCTCCTGGTGGCAGAGGGAAGTGGGGTGGTATCGTGCCTCCCACAGCCCCCGCAAAGTAGAAGGGCACTCTCTCTGTTCAGCCTTAACGACCCTTCACCCACGACCCTCATCTGATGCCTCACCCCTGACCTCACTGGAGACCTTAGCAGCGACCTACAACCTCACCGTGGCCCATCAGACCACCACACTGCCTCTTGGCCCAAGCCCTCACTTGAGCTCTCCCTGCCCTCGGCTGAACCCTCACTGCTGAGCCAGTCCTCAGCACACCCTCACCAGAACCTCACTGCCCCTAGAGGATCCCTCACTGCAGCCGTCACCCAGAACTTACTCCAGATCTCTCTGGCGACCTCACCCCTCTGCCCTGGCCTGTTCCTCCTGGAGTGTGGAGTTGCTGAGCCGAGCCCGGAAGTCAGACAGCCTCAGTCCCTCCCTACACCCCATGGGACGTGATGGTGGAGGGTCCTCCAGCAGCCAGCCTTCCAAGACCCGCAGCTCCCCAACCTGAGCCCACAGTCAGTGTTGCAGTCAGTGCTGTGCAGCTCTAAGCACGGGCAGGCAGAAGCTCTGCACCCCTCACAGTCAGAGTCTGCAGACACCACCTTCCCTCGCCCCACAGACATTCACCAGCAGTGGAGCTGTGGAATCACTGGTTTTAAATTCACAGCTGCTGGGGACAGTTTCTGTCAGATACAGGGCTCTGTGGGAGGCTTGTGTCTGCCACTCTCCCCCTCCCTTCTGTCTCCCCAGGACCAAAGGCAGTGGAGGAAACAGGCAGCCAGGGAAAGGGGCTTCAGATCAAGGTCAAAGCTCTTGGGAACCCTCTCATAATGGGTCCGTAGTATGGGCATGGAGCAACGGTTTCACTGTTTGAGTACCCAGAACACTAGCAGGTGTGTGCGTGTGTGTGCGTGTACAGTTGCACATAAACAGCGGCTATGGTTATGACTTGCAGTCTGTTTTTATCTCATTTCCTAGACTCTGAGTTTGGATTGGAGACCAGAGGCCTCATCTGGGAGCCATGGTTTTTTGGCCACCGCGGAATTTTAAAAAAATTTTTTTAAGTGAATGCCCTCATGTGGCAGACGGTGGTTTCCAGTTCGCTACCATTCCTTATGACCTTTTCACCCACTCAGTTTTAAGGGCATCTAAGTACGTAACCTGCGGGAACATTTGAGCAGCGGAGGGAGCCAGAGCCCTGCCCCACGCAGAAGGGGGAAGCAGAGGGCAGTGGCCTTTGGAGTGGTCACACATGGTGGACCTCCATTCTCCATACCTTCCATGAATTCTGGATCAAGTCCTCTTCTCACCCAGGCTTGTCCTTATCTTTGAGAAGGGGAAGTGGGGTGGCTGACTGTAATTTCAAAGCTAGCTTTGAGGTATCAGGCTACAGTAGCTCCTGTGGCAATGTGGATTCTAGGCGAGTGGTCCATGGAAGTCACGGAGAGGTGCAGGTGGAGGGTCTAAGGCCTCCCGCATCAGGCATCACGACTTGTGTGAAACACCAGGAGGTGGGCCCCATGCCTCTTTCAAGTCACCATGGGCTGGGCTGACACGTGGCCTGCAGCACCGTGGGAGGCCTGCACAGCAATGCCCTATGCAGTGGGCCTGGACTCTGGCCCATGGTGAAGGATAAAAACCATGCATGTGGTTTTGAGCCACTTGCTTTTGGAGCCATCTGTTGTAGCAGATGTAACTAATACTGGCCCTGCCTTTGAGGGTATGGGAAGCGCCTCTTTGAGGGTCAGGGTGGCCCTCATCTGAGAGGGACGATTCCCTGGGCTCTTCCTGTCTTAACCTTTTGCCTTTCTCCTCAGCAGCACTTCCCCTGACCCTCAGAGCCTGCTGTGGCCCTTGCTTGCTCTTTCTCCCGGTTCTGCCTCAGGTGAGGACTGGTTGCCTCTGTCCCTGCCTCCCTTTCTCTTCATGTGCCTGGCTCCCTGCAGGACTGGCTGCTCAGTGAAGTAACGGGCTGACTGGATCTGACAGGGATGAAAAGCTTGTTAACCGCCCATGGATACACAAAGGTCAGGGGAGGACAGGTATGGTGGGGAGGGTGGAGAGACTGACAGGCGGCAGTGTGGGACTGAAGTGCTCTGGTGACCTAGACCTTGGGTTGTGCTTTTCCACTTTCTCTGCTCCCAGTTGGTTGACCAGCCAGTCAGGTCCCTCCTCTGGTCCGAGGAGCCATCGGATGGGTTAGGGAGGTGGGCATAGAATTGTTACAGACAGAGACTGGGGAGCTTGCTCCTTGCCAGCCTGAGCCCTTGGTGACCTGGATATCCTTGAGCTCAGGGCCCCACCCCATTCCTGTGACAAGAGTCCGACCCAGAATCTGATGCAGCCTTGTGCTGAGGTTTTCGTTGCCTGCATCCACCTTGACAGCACACTGAGGGAGACGCAATGGAACAAAGGGCCCGGTCCCTACGCCGCAGCTCAGCTCCCACCCAGCAGTGCCCTTGCCACAGCAGGCAACCTTCTGCACGAGGAGCTGCCCACGGAGTAATCAAAGGTGGCAGTGCCATGCCTGCCTGAGTTAGTCCTCAAGGACAGCAGGTGACATTTGCGTCTGTTATGGAGAGAAGGGCCCCAAGGCCAGGCCCGGAAGTGCCAGTATAGGCCGGTGGGGCAGCCACTATCAGGAGACCCGGGCTCCTTGTCCGTTCACAGTCTCTTTCCCTGTATTAATGCTAATGCTTCAGGGTGGTAGGGAGCTAATGTTTCAGTCTTTCTTTGGTCTTGATTCTTTTAGGCATTTTACATAGACATTCGGGCTATCTGGAAATAATGGCAGTTCAGGCCCGGAAGTGCCAGTATAGGCCGGTGGGGCAGCCACTATCAGGAGACCCGGGCTCCTTGTCCGTTCACAGTCTCTTTCCCTGTATTAATGCTAATGCTTCAGGGTGGTAGGGAGCTAATGTTTCAGTCTTTCTTTGGTCTTGATTCTTTTAGGCATTTTACATAGACATTCGGGCTATCTGGAAATAATGGCAGTTGTCTTTTTCCAGTCACTCCATTTCCTCTGTGTGTGTGTGTGTGTGTGTGTGTGTGTGTGTGTGGTGCTAGGTGGAATCTAGTTTCCAGTCACTCCATTTCCTCTGTGTGTGTGTGTGTGTGTGTGTGTGTGTGTGTGTGATGCTAGGAATGGAATCTAGGGCTTCATGTGTGCTAGACAAGTGCTTCAGTACTGAGTTACACCCTCAGCCCTTTTTTAAGATTTTAGTTTGAGACAAGATCTTGCTAAGTTGCCCAGGCTGGCTTCCAACTTGGGCTCCTGCTCCCACAGACTCCCAGATAGCCTGCAAGTACAAGTGTGCCTAGTTCCAATCACTATTCCTGGTCTCTTTTTCTTGTCTTCCTTTGCCAGAGAACTAGAAGTGGTGGCAGCAGGCCTCCTTCCTAGTTTTGACAGGAAGGCCTAACATTTCACTGTTGAGTGTGATAGTTGATGCAGATTTTTGTAGACACTGTTTATTAGGCTGTAACGTTTTCTTGTGTTTCAAATTTGCTTTTTAAAAAATCAGGAATAAATATTGAATTTTATTGATTTCTTTTTGGCATCTATCGAGTTGTTCATATTGTTTTTGTCCTTTAGTCTGTTAATATAGCAAATTACATTTTCTTCATATTAAACTACCCTTTCAATCCCAGGACAAACCCAACCTGGTCATGGTGTGTCATGGCTTTGTCATTCAGTACCATACTCAGTTTGTTAATATTTTGTGTGGAATTTTTGTGTAAGGCTGGTAAGCATGATTGGCTTCTTGTCTCCCTTTCCCATATTGTCCTTGTCTATTTAGCTTTTGCTTTTATGCTTACAGTAGGCTCATAAAAAAGGAATGAGGGAATGTTCTTTCTTTTCTAAAAGAGTTCATTTGAGACTGGAATTGTCTAGCCTATGAATGTTTAGTAGAAGCTTGCCTGGTGTGTGGGGGATTCTTCCTTTTGAGTGTGTATGTAGACTTTTAACTTCTGCCTTTGTGTTTATTATGTTCTTCCTTCTTAGTTTGACTTACCTGCTGTTCTGTTTGTCATGTCTTGAATTTATCTGTAAAAGGACAATTAACCTAGGTAGTTGGACTAACTAAGCTGCACATCCACTCACAGGTCTGGCTGGGGATGCTGTGACTCCCTGTGAAGGGGAAAAAGGCTCCCTCACCCTTGCCTGCTACTCCCTAAGAGTGGACAGTGGTGGTCCTGGAAGGGAGTTGGGGGATTGGAGTTCTTGGGGAAAGGTGGGCAAGAGAAGTCTAAGAAACTGGAAACATGCTCACAAAAGCCAGGTCTCCTGGCGGCCTCTTGCCTTCCCTGCGGCTAGTTCCCACAGAGCTGGGCACGAGGTCATTCAGTTTGGGTCGTGGGAGCAGGAAGCACTGAGGTGCTAGGGGCTGCCTGATTCCCAAGGGAGCAAAACTGCCCAGAACTGCAGTGGGGCGGGAGGGTGGAAGAAGAGTGAAGAGAATTCCCATCCCTCCTCCCCATCTCCTGAATTCCAGTTCCTGCATCCTGCAGACTCATCCTGGATGGAATTTTCCTGCTGGGACCAGTTCTGGACCTGACCCTGCCCATTCCTGTTCCCTCATTTAATCTTCCTGAGACTAAACTGGGGCTAGGGACCTGTCTTTGGGTCTGGCTGCCTTCCAAGGAAGGGAAGAGGAACAGAAAAGAGCTCAGCCATGGCTCTTGGCCACTGGCTTCTGATGGACCTTACCTTCTCCTGGAGGGAACACTTCCTGCCTCTAAAGGGTCTGCCAGAAGTGAGGGCAGAAGAGATCTTACTCCCAAGGTAGCCCAGTTGGCCCCAGGATGGGTTGCCAGACTCCACAGGAGTCCTACAGAAAGCAGCCCTGGGCATCTGAGGAGCATAGCTTTGGAGGAACAGCAAAGGTATTTTCTTTTCTTTCTTTCTTTATTTTGGGGAGGGTACTGGGCATCAAATTCGGGACCTTGCACTTGTGAGGCAGGTGGCAGAACCACTGAGCTAAATCCCCAGCCAGCAGAGCTATTTTCCACAAGGAGTCTGAGGGTAGTGGGCACAGGGAGGTACCCAGCAGCTCTACTGGCCTACAGCTTTAGCTTACTGCCTCCTGCTCCAAAACCACCTCCCCAAAATGCCTTTCTTCATGGGGACTCTGTGAGGATGCCACAGGGCAGACTGGAAACTTCATTTCATCTTGGTGTCAAGAGCCTGTTGATTGGTGGTGGTTCCCAGAAAGCAGTGGTAAATCAGACACATCTATCTATCTGGGCTGGGAGGGGAGGGCGGGTGTGCTGAGGCCCACAGCCACACTGCACAGCCCTGCTGTGAGAGAGATCAGTCTTGTTGTAGTTTTATGGAATACACATGAAGGCGTGAAAAGTGCCAACCCCAGGACCAAGTGGGCAATAGACCATAGTGCCTATTATGCTATTACTTGAAACTCCAGTCTGCATGGTTTGGGGTGACCGGGGAGGAGGAAGATAGGGGGTTACCTGCTGACTGACTAGGCCCAAAACTGGGTTCCTCCTTTGTCCAAGTATCAGAATCCCATATAAGCATCCTGTGCTGGACAGCAGCTGCCTGATGGCAGGCATCTGGGCTTCACCTCTGCTGTTTCCTGCATCCTGGAGCCCACGGTGGCAGCCTCGGACCTCCTGTGCAGCTGCCTCCACCTGGCCCCATCGGATCCACCTCACTGCCCTCCCAGCCCACTTCTCTTCGGGGCCTGTGCTTCTGCCCTGGACATTCTAGGAGAAAAAATTTTATGATCTCCTCCATGAAAGTGGTTTTTTTTTCTTTTTTAAAACCCATTTTGATGCTTGAGGAAGATTTTTTTCATGTAAGTTTATTCTCATATCAAGTAACGGTCTTTTGGCAGATTGTCTTGATTCCTGCCTCAAAAAGATTTCACCCTTGAAACTGCTCAGTGCCCTCAGACCTGACCTTGGCTTGGTTGAATGTTCCTGGAGAGGACGCACACGCTCACATGTGCCTTCCCCATGGCCCTGACCATGTCACCGTCCTCTGTGGGAACATAGTTGTTTCTCAGCTTGTTTCCTTTGGACGGTTCCACATGTGAACCTTCAGGCAGGAGCGCTGCTTGTCCTGGTCACTGCATATCCTCTGTGCCTGGAAAGCACCTGCTGCCTGGTGGATGTGGACAAGCTTGTCGAATTCATCCCGAGTTCTGGCTCTCTCCTCTTATTCTTGGCCATCGCTCTCAGCCAGGCACCGGTAAATCCCATGTCCCCTTCCTGGTAGCACTCTAACTAAATGACTGATGTATGTATATTTCCCAAGCGCAAAGGGTTACTAAAGGGACTAAAGCCTCTGTCCTTACTGCAAATGACCCAGGGGATCCAAAACACCAGCGGCTCCATCAGCATGCAATGGTCTCCCTTTCCCACTAGAGGGCGGGCATCTCTCCTGGGTGACGGGCAGGAGGTGGAAGAAGAGCACTTCTACTCTCTGACACCTATCAAAGGGGTCCTTACAGCCCCAGGCCCTCTCCCAGAACTAGACTGACCAGGTTCCCCACAGGGGCCAGACCTTGGCTTCTTGGGTCAGAGAATTCCGAGGATAGGACCAGTCCTAGCTGGCCTGTGTTTCTCCTGGAATTTCCCATTTCCTGGGAAGAGGATGAGCTCATGTTCCCTTTCACTTTAACAGGATGGTTTCTGTGAGTTCAGAGTTCTGGTCACCAAGAGAGCTCGGTGCCGTCTCTGCAGGTACCATCTTGGCCATTGCTCTCTTCTCACGGTGCAGTCCTCTGATGCCTCTGCGTGTCTGGGAGCCTTTCTCCTTTGTCCCCACCTGGGGAAAGCACCCTGTCTCCAGGCCCCTGAAGCAGGACTGAACTGAGATTGCCAATGGCTGTGAATGTTCACCAGAGCCCTTGCATTCCCAGAGGCCTCATTTCAGCCTCCCGTGCCCAGCCTTCCAGCCCCTGGGCCATTGTCATCCCCTTCCCAAAAGCCTGGTTCTCCGTCAGCTCCCAGCAGTGAGAGGATTCCCAAGATGCTGCCTTCAGCTCCAAGCATTTTCCCCAGCGATGTCCGAGTCCTCTACCTCAGGCCCCATCTAGTCAGGAAGGGCGTACAGTGACTTGTCAGACCGGACCCTACCCTTAGGTTTCACTTCGGAGCTTGGTGTTGGTATAAATTGCCCAAGGGCAAGTATCAAATCTGGCCAGTGGAATGGGCTTCTTCAGCTCCCAAAGGACCCTTGCTCTCCATTGCAAGAATCCAAGCCGGTGGAAGCTTCTAGCTACTGCCCTGCACTTACTACCTGGATGCAGGTTGGCTGCTGTGGCACTTCCTCTCTCCTCAGCTGTCCCGCAGTTGCCACAGTAATCGATTTCTCGACCAGTGTGTGCACATGTGTGTACTGGTGGGGTGGAGCCTGGCCCGCACCCACAGAAGGTTTCCCAGCTCCACACCCAGCCCTGCCCTGGATCCCTGCACCAGACCACTGCTCCTCACTTTCCCCACAGAGAGATTCCGAAGCCCATCCCATCGTATGTGTATTTCCCTGGAGTGAAAGAGGAGAGCTGCCTCGCTTCTCTGTCCCCCCAGGACTCCACCTGCGCAGCCCTCGTGGGATAGACGCCCTGTGAGAGAACAAATAAGCAACTGACACAGTTTCCTCAAGTGACATATTTCAATATAATCTCTAAAACTCTATGAATTGAACAGATAAAATACCTCTGGGCTATTTTATTACAAAATATTTGCCATTTGGATTAATTGCTAGGTGCAGCCACCCTGCCTTTACCTAGAGAGCCGTGTCTCCAGCAGGGTGAAGGGTGTGCGCAGGGAGGGGTTCAGTGAGAAGGGAGGCCTCCCCAGATTCAGGGACAGATAGACAGATGGTCACCAGGGAAGCCTATTGCCTACCAGAGATATCCTGGCAGGCTCTGGTGGACAGGTGGGTGGGTGGTGGGGAGTCAGAGTCCAGGACCTAAGTGTGTGTGGGAGCAAGATACCTTTGAGCTAGACAGACAGACAGACAGGCAGGCAGGCAGGCAGCTTCCAGGACGAGTGTCAGACAGGGCCCACTTCAGGTCTGGCAGTGGACTTGCCCGGAAGGGATGAGGAAGCTAGTTGCATCTCCCACTCTTGACTCTGGACTTGGGCCAAATGGATAAAATGGGAGAGGAGCCAGGTACCCCAGAGTAAGGCCTAGAGGGTCAAAGAAGTGGAGCTGTTTCAGGGTGCTTGGGGCTCAGTCAGCACTGCACTGCCCTTAGTCTTGGGAGAGCAGGAGGGCCCCTGAGCATCTCTGCTGGGCCCTCTGGGAGCCCCTGATGTGGCTGCTCCCATAGGGAAAGGAGAGGAAGTCCCCAGTCTCTGGGAAAGAGCCAGAGGGGTTTCTTATCCTGCTGACTCCTGTCCAGACCCTTCCTGGTTCAGGCTGCTCTGTGCTGTCCACCCCAGGCTGGTCTCTTTCTGTGCAAGAGGCCCCTGTTGCCCATGGGGCCCAGGGCCACCTTGCAGCAAGCCAAGATGAGCCTCTGACCTGGGGATGGGGATGGGGCCTGGACATCCAGGGCCCCAGAGAATGTGCATGAGCCAGCCCTAAAACCTTGGTTGCTGCCATCAGGGAAGTTGGACTTTGGCTGAGAGGGAGGGAGGGGCAGGCATTGCTGTGCCCGCCAACTGGGAAGGAGGACACTTTGCTCACACTGTGAGCAGGAACCAGGGACCTGACAGTGGGCGCAGAGCTGTCTAGGGCTGTGCCCTTCTCAAGCAGCCCTTGGCACCAATCTCTCCCACCCCATAAGTACATTTAGCTGCACTCATTACTCTATTCTTTCATACCTCATACCTTGTCTCCTATTCGTAATTTGTACTCCATTTTCAGCACTCTCACTCAAGATTCACCCACTGCCACCCCTGCAGCTCCATCTCCCCTGGAGACCCTGGCTCAGGGCAGCAAGGTGTCTGGATTTTGGCCTCATTTGTCAGCTGTCTCACTCCTCCAGGCTCGGAAAGCATCTCTGTTCAGAACAGTCCCCGGAGGGGCTGAGGCTGCCAGTGTGGGGGAAACAAATGGGCTGGGAGTCAGGAGGGAGACGGCAAATTGGTCCCAAGTTACGGAAACCAGGCTGACAAAGACAGAGCCAGAAATAAACTCACTGAGTGACCTCATGATGACGTCTGGGTGTTCATATGCTTACACAGGAAACTAGGTCACCTGGCCCCTCTGAGGGCAGAGAGTATCCTTGCCTCCTCCCTGGCCCAGGATGCTGCAGTCCAGGGCATGCTGTGCGGCTGGAGAAGCCAATTCACTTTAGACGTAGCCGTTATCTATTGCATCTCCCTGGAGGCTTTATAAACAGGCTCCAAGAGGAAGGACTGTGAGGAAGGACAGCTGTAGCTGCAAGCACAGGACCACAGTGTGGCTGGGCTTGCAGCAGATACTTCCTGAAACCTCCATGATGGGGTGGCCAGGGCACTGACCCGTGGCTTTGAGGATGGGCTGTCTCTCCTCAGGCTCAGGCTTCGTGGAGACCTGAGGGTGGCTTTCTGCTCCTGCTCACCCTGGGAGGCCAGCAGCCCTGCTTGGCTCTCCTTTGTGACGTTAAGGGACTCAGCCAGTCTCGCTGGAGGGGATCTGTGCCTTCACTTGGGACTATTAAAGGCTGAGGCAGCAGGGAGACTTGAGTCCTCTGGGGCCTCATGATCCTGTGTACTTTGGTATCCAAGTTTTTCCTGGAGGCTGCTGAGTAACACAAACCCGGACTCCGGGCCCAGTAGAACCTCCACTAGAACGCCCACTGGGTGGATCAGCACCCATCCACTCATTTCTGAAATTAACCTGGTTCTGGTGCATGTTTACATGCCAGCACTTGTGTGCATTTGGCACTGGCTGGGTTTTATTTGGGGCTAGGGAACTACTGAATGCTTTTTAAAAAGTGCATTTTGCAGATATATGACCTCGTAATCTCATGGCCCTGCTGAACTAAACTAGAGAGAGCCAAGTGCTCCTCGCTCCTCCTCCCTTTCTCAAAGCTTTCCTGGAGTCAGCTCTTGAGAAGGGCCTGAGGGGAGGAGGCCAGGACAGCTAATGTCCCTGGGGACTAGGAGCAGCCTCCTGAGATGGCTGGGCTGGGGACAGGGGAGCAGAACAAGCTCCTCCTTCTGCCTTCTGCCCGCTACCCTCTTCCATTCAGCTCAGCCACCCTCCACCTGGGGCTCTGTTGTCACTGCCAGCCACCCTAGCCTCCCAAGCCTGCCCATGGGCTGAGGCTGGGCCATGAATAGTACCCAAGCCTGAAAGCTGCTCAGCCCCTCAGCTCTGAGTTTCTTCACTCTATGGTCTGACTGGGGAGAGTGGTGGCCACAGGTATCGCCTCATCTGGCTGTGCGGGGCCCCAGGAGAGGGAGGTGCTGTCTCCAGGTTTGGGGAATGCTCAGCTGAGTAAGGGCAGGGTGGCCGGACCAGGCAAATCCAAGTGCCAGGGATCAGGGTTCTCTTTCCAAACAGTGACTACGGATGCCAGGATATGGGGAGCAGCAAAGGGGCAGCTGAGGCCCCCTGGTGGCCGACCTTCCTGGAGCAGCAGGCTGCGGGAGGCAGGGCTACACCAGGCTCCTGGAGCCGCTGGAGTAGCGCCTGCGGTGCAGCAGGGAGCCGGGTGGGCAGAACTGGTGAGGGTGATTGTAAGGGGGTGGGGGCGGGGGCAGCGGAGGCTGGTGGATGACCTTGACAGGGGAACCCGGGCCGCCCAGAGGTGTGGAGCCGCAGGAATCAGAGGAGGACGAGGTGTAGCAGGAGAGAGCCTGGCTCAGCAGGGGCTCCATGCGCGCCAAGCAGGGCTTGTCCAGGACAATGACCTTGACAATTTGCTGGCACTGCACCAGGGTGCCGGGGGGTGTGGGCGGCAGCGGTGGCAGCGGCAGGGGCTGCTCTCTCAAAGGGCTAGGCTGTGGGTCTGGCGGTGGTGCTGGTGCTGGAGCTGGCGCTCCCCTCTCGGCCCCCAGCCTGGAGTTGTGCTGGGACGTTTGAAGCCTGTTGTGAATTGACACCTAGTTTAGAAACAGCCAGAGAAGCATGACATGTTACGAGACTAGTTCCCAGGGCTGAGACAGGCTGCCTGAGCCTCCCTTTGTCTCCCTCCCTGCTCCCATCCCTGCAGCCCATCAGGTGCTCTCAGCCTTTTCTCTGACCCTCTGCCCAGCACTCTAGCCAGAGGCAGGCTGGCTTCGACCGGGGCTGTTCTGTACCAGAGAGGGCAGAGCCCCAGCCTGATGGTGGGTACGTGTGGCTCTCCAGGCCTCAGTCTCCTCTTCAGTGAGACTGGCTCTGCATATCTCCGCATACCGACTCTCAGCAAACTGCTCCCCAGTGCCTCCCTACGCACTGAGCTGGAAAGCTGGTAAATGGCCTTGGACCCTGCCTGCCTCCCAGGGGAGTGCTGAGGGGAAAAAGGGAAGAGCCAAGCATTTCTGATCCTTTCAAGACCCCTCTTCCCTCCTGCTTCTTTAAAGACAGAACCTGGTGATAGCTGGTATCACCTCAGAATGCTAGAGACCCCAGAAAGGGTCTTCTGGACCTGCCCTGTCCTTCCAGACACCATGTGGCCATGGCCCTGTATTCAAGCCAGCCCAAACATCAGAGGGCACATTTGGGTGCCCACCTTCCTCAGCCCAAGCTGGGTTCTGGTGAAGGTTGCCTGGCAGCAGGAGCGGAGAGTTAGAGGGATTCTGATCTTTATCCCTGGGTAGGGGTAGGAGGAAGTGGACCAATGGCCCATGGGACCACCCTGCAGCAGACCACAGGGGTCAGTGTCAGCTCCCCTGGCCTCCTCTTGCTAGCAATGGGAGCTGGAGAAACTGAGCATAAGGGAGGTTAAAGCATTCTGGAAAGTATTAATTCCTCACCCTACCCCTACCCCCAAGAATCCCAACCAGTGGCTGTGACACTATGAACCCCTCCAAACACCTGGGCCCTGCAGGGAGGCTAAGACCCTTCCTTTCTGAGGGCGCTTCCTGTTGGGCTGCTGTCGTGGCTGGGCTCCACCACCTATGGCCTGCTACTCAGACCACAGAGGGGACATCGAGGCTGTAGGGGAGGAGACCTTATCCCAGGCCCAGCCCAATAACATCTTGGAGCCTTCAACCTGCACTTCCTGGTTCTGCTTGTTAGCTAAGGATGCTTTGTCAAGGGCCCTCCTGGATCTGAACACTCCTATAAGCTACCTCCATTGCAAGCCCCCAGCCACTCCTTCGCCCCTCAGTATTCATAAGCCCCGGCTCTGTAGTCTGCATGTTGCAGGCTTTATTCCCCATCCTCTGACACAGAGGTGTTTTCTAGTTCCAAGATCCCTTAAATGAATGAAGTTTCCTCAGAGCCCCTCACTGTCCTGCCAGACACACAGCAGACAGAGGGTATGGCTTGCAAGTCCCTGCTTCCTGGGGAGCCCTCTGTCATTCTTATTCTGAAGAAGGCCTCTGTCACCACCACTGCCAAAAGGCATGGGCTCCTTTCCCCATTGCTTCTATTCTGAACTGTTCCCAGAGAGAAAAGTGACCCGAGGCCAGCAGACAGGCTGAGCCCCTCTGCTTCCCTGTCCTCCCTTCATGACCGCCCCTCTGTAGGCAAATGCCTGGCCACCCAGTTCAGACCGGTGGGCTGCTTTCTCCTTGGCTGATGCTTCCATGTGACCTCAGCGCTTGGCCGCAACCCTCTCCCACGCCCATGTGCTGGCTCTTCCTCCGCTGTGGGTGCCCCCAGCCCTCACCCCAGCCTGGGTCCTTTATCTTTAATGGTCAGTAAGTGAAAAGCAGGATGTGACAGCAAAATGTCCTCTCATTCTAACTCAGGAAAGACAGAAAGAGAGAGGGAGGGAAAGAGAGAAAGAAGAGAGGAGACAGAGGTGAAAAATGAGTAGCATGTCAGAACAGCTCAGAGAAAATGGACAAGCGCCTGCCAGAGGGGTCCGCCAGGCAATGACAAAGGAGAGGGCAGAGGAGAGCTTGGGGTCCAGCAGAGGCCATGGGGCAGCAAGGCTGTCCTCTGTGCAGGGGAGCAGGGGCTGGCAGGGCCCTGGAGCTAGCTGAGGGGTGGCAGCCTTGCAGATAGCCACAGGGCCGCACAGGATGGAGAGAGGGAAAACGGGCGTCAGACTGTTGGTCCCCCGTGCGGAGCTGTGGCCAGGGCAGGGGCAGGGCTGCCGGAACAGGCCAGAGGGCGGGTCACTCGGCGTGTTTATCTGCAAGGCTGAGATGGGCGGCTGTGGGAAGATGGGAGAGGAGGGCGGGGATGGAATACCCACCCGGGGCTGGTCAGCTGCCCGGCGGAAGCTCCTCCGAGTAGGGGCGCCTCCTCCAGACACTCGTGTGTGGGGGGTGGGGGCACTGGGGTGGGAGGAAACTGAGCTCCTAGGGCATCCTGCAGTTTCCGGGCTTAGCAGCCTGGCGATGGGGCTCCTTCCTCACACTAGGGGGCCTCTCCAGCCTGAAGTGAGGTTGGGAAAGGACTGTGTGTATGAACAACTGGTATCCTGGTGGCAAAGAAAAGGGGCCTAGGTTCACTGGGAAACAGCGGGGTCCATCACGGAGGGTGCCGCTGCATGTTCCCCACAGGGGAGATGCCTTGGGGCCGGCAGGGACCCCCATGTCCTTTCCTGTGTAGTCTGGGGATGGGTATCCTTTCCTTCAAGACAGCCCCAGCCCTGCTCAGCTCCATCCCTACGATGGCCAGCTCTGTAGGGGACCAGCTCTTTCAGAGAAGCCCCTTCTTTGCCCCCACTCAATTCTCCATCTTCCCCAGAGAGGGGTCCAAATGGCATGGCAGGCCCACGAGCGATCGCCTGGGGACCTGACTTGAGTGTGACTCTCCAGGGGGAGCCCAGGCTCCCTCACATGGGGGCCAGGAGGACGGGGGAAAGGGACACTGGGTTCCCCGATAGCGCATGTGTCGGGCAGAGCTTTGCTGGGGAGTGGGCGGAGGGCAGTATGGGAGGGAAGAGGGAGGTGCTACGGTACCCTTTCCACAGGGCTGGGCTGGGAGTGGGCAGAATGTGCTGGCGGATTAACTAGGCGCTGGGAGAGTGGTGTTACCCATGCTAGCAGTAACTTTTAATTGTATCTCTTGAAATTGGTAAAATGGTGAGTCGGGCTGGGGAGGCATTGATTAATACCTGAGAAGAGAAACAACAGAGAAGGTGAGAAGAAGGACGAGGGGTACGAAGTCACTCACCTGGACGCACCAGGCCTCCACTTACCTCCCCGGGGCTCTCCGTGGGCTTCTCCCCCAGTGCAGCGTCCCTCTCGGCTTTGAATGTAAACAGCACAGCGCTCATTCTCTACCAGTCCTGGTGGAGCCCCAGGCCTTCCCTCCTCCTGCCCTCGCACCTCTGCAGTTAGCTGGCACGGGCAGCCAGGCTGTGGGCACGGCACATGCCTTGCTGAGGTGCAGCCCGGCTCAGCGGGCCGGAAGGTGGGAGCCCAGTTCGGCCCGCTCGCTGTGTGGGTAAGATGCTGCACCCCTTTGGGCCTCCACACTTCCTGACCTCTGACATGCTTTCTGATGGTGGCATTGTTCAGTCTAATGGGCACAAAGCCTTCCCAAGATGGAGTGGGAAAGTCAGCTTATGAGGTGGGCCCTGGTCTGTGGGCACCAGGTTGGCCAGCCTCGGCTCCCTTGAAGGAAGGACTGTACTTTGTCCTTCCTCCTGTGACTTGATGACGTAAGCCTGGTACAGTACTTGCCATAGTGCCTGGTATATGGCGGAGCCCATGTGATCTATGATTACTGCTAAGGCACTCTGCCCATCCTGTAGGACAGCAGGGTCCCACTGGGCCCCAGCTTCCACTGCCACTCAGCAGGATCCCTTTGATTTCTCAATCCCTCCCCTGGCGGGGGGCAATTTCCCTTACTTTCCTCAGCCCCCTGCTTTCCAAAGCACAAGACGGGGCTGTGGCATCTTTTGGGAATTAGAAACACCTCACTACAGAGGCAATCTGTGGACAGGTCCCTGGAGACACCATCCTAGTGTGACCAGGGCTTGCATTTCCCAAAGAGAGGCCAGCAGGGCTATCGATACAGGATGAGAGGGAATAAATCAGAGCAGAGTATTGGCTCTGGGGCTTAGGCAGCCATGAAAACAAGCTGTGACCGCCACCCTCATGATACTACAAAATCAAGGAGCTACTGAAGTCAGGCTGGGTGGTGAAGTATGGGTGCTGGTGGCAGGTGGAACCCATCACAGTGAGAATCTCCGTGAGTCCCACAGTGTGCTTGGAAAGTGGATTACATGTCCTGGCAGGCATGGCCAGTTCCCGTGCTGCAGCCTGTGCAAGTCTGGTATCAGGGCCAGTGCTGAGGGTTTGGGACCACAGGAACCCTCTGGACTTCCTCAGCCCAATCCGGGCTCTTGCTGTGACCCTGGATTCCTGGTGTTCAGCACAGGGCAGCCCTCACACATAGTATATGTTTGCTGAAAGTGAAGCTAAACGACTAAGTTAATGAATAAACAGTTTGGGCTGATTTACTGGGATTATGTTGGCATGGGGTTTAAACCTCGCACTATCTCTCCTTCTAACTTCTTTTTATTGGGGGCTGGTGGAGGGGAGGTGGTACCATTATCTCCTGTGCCATTTACAGGTGGCAAGTAAGGTTGGGGCAGCAAAGGGGACATCAGAGGGCTGAGCGAGCAGGTCTAGAGAGCATGGCCTAGAGGACACCAAGCCTGAAGCTGTCTGACTGCTGGAATAGACAATTCATGGAATAAACCATTTGAGAAATGAGTATGAGGCTTATCTGGATTTCAGGGTGTCTGACCTGGACCTGTATTAGATAATGCTTGGGGCTTGTTAGGGAAAGAGCCAGGCTCTACATGGGGCAGAGGAGATTCCCAGACTCCCTACTAGCCATCCTTCCTTTCTACCCCACTCCTCCTATCTTGGGTAAGGATGACAACACTCTTGGCCTGATTCCTCCAGGGTAAATGGTACCACATCATATGGACTCCTGAGCTCTGGTGTCATTTGTGCAATGGACACATTTCTCTTGCACTTTCCTTCTTGTTCCCATTACTAAAGCCCATGAGAATAAACACAGCAAGATAAGAGCTCCTCAGTGGAAAGGAATGAGTAGAAAAATGGGCACACCTCCCACCCAAGTCTCCCTGAAGCCAGGCTTGGGGCTGCAAGTGGCCTTTTGTGGGCTGGGGCCAAAGTAAGAGCTGCTACTCACCTGTGGGTGATCCTTGCTTTGACTGCGGGTCCATCTGGGCTCCCCCAGCCTTGAAGGAGAGCATCTTCCTTCCCTGCTGCCTCTCCAGCTCCCCTAAGGAGGGGGGAGGCCATGAGCACATAGAACCTTGACCTCCACCATGCATGTGAACAAGGAAATGAAGAGAGCAGGACAAGAAAGAGGAGGGTGGGGAAGCCCTACTGCATGCTGCAAGACAGGGACCTCATGCTCTAGCATGGCACTTAGCAGCTGGTTGAGTCTGCCCTGGGAGCTGCAGTTTCTTCATCTGTACATGATGGGACCTGCTTGAATGTCCAAGACCGGTGGAAGAGGTCAGCATGAGGGAGGCCAACTACCCAGGGAAATCCCGGCTCTGGTGCTTGATAGCTGTGTGGCTTAGGTAAGTTACCTAACCTGTCTGTGCTTCACTGGAGGAGATGTCCTCCCTTCTGCAAAGAAGTTTTTAAGAAGACTGGCCATACAGCACATAGGACTAGGTCTGGCTTACAGCAAGTGCTCAGATGATGACGTGTAAGGAGCTCTTGATGGCTGGGGGTGTGGGCCAGTGGTGGAGCATTTGCTCAGCCTGCATGAGGTCCCTGGGGCTACCCCCAGAACTGTGAAAGAAAATGAGTACTTGGCCTGCAGGTCTTACCGCAGTTGGTGACATCTAGTCCCCCATGTGCATCCCACAAGACTGAGTGGCCACAGTGGCTGAGAGATCCCAACTGCCCCATCTGTCCAGCTTGCATGGCCCAAGTGGCCAGGACATCTGTCTTGGTTCTCCACTTTAACATCTCTCCCTGGATTAGAAGTGTGTTCCTTCTTATTCTCCCAGTGGCGCTAGAAAACTGCCAGTCACCTTCCTTGGAGATGTGACTGTCAGTGCCAGCTACCTGACAATCATTACTCAATCGTTTCTCTGGCTTTTGTGTTCCAGGAGACATAACTCAAGTTCCTTTCATTAAGGCCACTCTCCTGGGTTTCATTTGTGGCCTCCTTAGTGGCCTCGGATCCAGGAACACTTCCTCACAACCTCCCGCAGCAGAACCATCTGTCCCAGTTGTCTACCTCATACCATCCGTCAACACTACCCATTTTTATCGAACCATGGTTTAGGGTGGAAAGAACTTGAACCATGGAGTCAGACTTAAATGTGAATGCCAGCTGCTCCCAATGGGTCCTCTTGGCTTTGGATCAATTTGCTTCCTAATCACACTTAGGGAGTCAGGAGGACTAGGTACCGCACTTGCTGTGACTGTGAGAACTCACAATGCCTCAGTTTCTCTGTTGATAAGATGAGGAGAATATGAACTCAGGGAAGGATGTGAGAACTAAATGATGGATTTGGCCAACAGCCCAGTGCCTGGCATGTCGTACGTGCTCAATGTATGGTTGCTGCTATTGGCTTTGTTTTCTTTTTCACTTTCTGATTCCCTCTCCTCCCTGCTTCTTGGCCAGTCCTTCATCTCTCTCCAGCTGTTTCTTCCCTTTTCTTTATTTGAAGACTGAGAGCCAAACTTTAGGCTTTGCCTCTGTTATAATTTATGTCGACCATAGGTAGGGCTTTTGGGAAGTGACTGGATTAGTCCACAGGGGTTTTAATGTGGGTGTAATGTTGGGAGGCGAAGTCTGGTGGGAAGAGGTGGGTCACTGTGGGTGTGGCCTAGAAGGGTGTGTGTCTCTCCTCCTCCCTTGATCCCTCATTGCTTCCAGCCCACCATGCTGTGAGCTGTTTCTCCTCTGCAATGGCCTCTTCCATGCTGCCCTGTCTTGGAGCCAGCTGACTATGGACTGAAACTTCTACAGTCTGTGAGCCGAAATAAACCTTTCCTCCTTTACATGTGGGTGTCAGGTATTTTGCCTCAGCAACAAGAAGAAACTAAGACACCCTGATCTCTTCCCCTCTGACCATCAGGAGAGGTTGTTCCACTCGACATAGCAGATTTTGGTAATATCTGCTTACTTTGGGAAGGGGTTTATGGTCTGGAGGAAGAAAAGTGCCTCTTGCAGCCATGCTGGGGCCAGGAGATGTGCAGTGGCTTCCCAGGGCACTGTAGAGTCACGTGTTCCATTCTGACAAGAGAAGTGAAGCCTTGAGAATGTTCCAGAACAACAGCTAGGGTTCCTCTCTGGGTATCTAATCTAACACTTTTAGTGTCTGTGTGTAACACCACTGCCCCAGATGAGCCAACCCTGCACCTCTCCCTGCCAAGCTGTCACCTGAGTCATATCTGGTAAGCTTTTGTTTTACCTTGATTTTGACAGTTTTCTTAGAAATTTCTAGAGAAATCCTTAGGCTCAGAGTGGAAAGAACACTTAAGTGGACCCAGACTGAAATGTGAAGGACAGGGGCTCCATTTATAGTGTGTGTGGCCTGGACTCACTGCTTCCCTTCAATGATCCTCACCTGTCAGACGGGCCCCACACATCTCTCTCCAGGTCCTGCGAGCATTAGCAGGGTGTAGATAAACTGCTTTGCCCCTGCAGGTGCTCCAAAATAATGATTAAATAGTATCGTCCTGTCATATTGACTCCCTGCTCAAAATCCCCCACTACCCTTCCTATTGCCCTGTGCACTTATATTGATTTAGGGACACTTTTCTTTTTTCTTTCTTTTTTTTTTTGGTACTGGGGATCGAACTTGGGTCCTTGTGCTTGCAAGGCATGTGCTGGAACCACTGAGCTAAATGCCCAGCCCAAGGGACACTTTTCAATTAAGTGGCTACAAAGGGCAGACCTTCTTTGTATTTTCTATTTGTATTTTCTGACTTAGTTTCTGAATCCATCCTTCTATGATTTTTTTCTCTTCAAGTCCATATGGAGCCTCTGCGATGCTTGACCAGCCAAAGCCTGAAGAAGGGCACAGTTTTATAAGTTATCACTGCTTAGTTCCTAAACCTGAAAGTGAATGGTAACCATATGGACATAGAAGGAGACCCACTGATATTCTGATATTCCTGAGCTGGAACCATCCAAAACCTAGGTGTTCCAGGACTCGGATTTAGCTGAGTGGCACTGCACCTGCCTCAAAAGTGCAAGGTCATGAGTTCGATTCCCAGTACTAAAACAAAACAAAACAAGCAAACAAACAAAAAACAGAACCTAGGTGTTCCTAAGGGGAGCAGAAAGACAACTCTAGGATGAGAGATGGTAAGGAAAACCAGCCTGAACTACTCTTCAAACAGACAATATATATAAACAGACTATACATACACACACACACACACACACACACACACACACACACACACGTATGTATAGAAAGTGGAAAGGTTATTCTAGATTAAAAGAGGTTGGAGAAATGAAAGTAACCAGATGCACTATCTGCACTTGGACTACAAATGGGGCAAATAAAAAAATAGTTTAGAGGAAAGAAAAGCCCACGAGTTCATGGACTTCTCGAGTTTGCAGTCTGCCTGGATGCTGGTCCAAAATGGCAGGGTTCTTTGCACAAGAGCCCCATGTGCACACACATGTGCCTGCTCCAGCGCACAGACTGTGGTGAAGCAGCACTCTGGGAGGACAGGTGGGGAGGGAAGAGGGTCTAAGCGGGACAGGGGAGGGGTGGGGGGTCCCAGGGCCAGAGTTGCCTGTATGCAAGCTGTCCCGTCCCTTGCCTCAGAGAGCCCGGTCCCCGCGTCCTTACACTCTATCCGGACCTGCTCCAGCTCTGTCACCTCCGCGATGGACTCCTTCAAGTCCTCCACGAACTTCTGCATCTCGTCTGAGCCCAGGGCACAGAAGTGCAGCGCCTGCTTCTTCTCTGAGCCCGACAGAGGGGTCACCAGTGTGATGCCATGAGAATAATCTGGAAACCAGCCCCAGGCCCAGAGGGCTGTGAGCAGCAGTGGGGGCTGAGCCAGCCAGACACTGGGAGGGGCGGCATCTCCCAGTCGCCTGCCCCATGCCCAGCTTCCCCCTCAGCTTCCCTTGCTCCCTCTGGTAGTTCGCGCCCCAGGACTTACACTCATTTTCAAAGAGGTGGAACTGCATGCCCAGCAGGCCGACGGACTTGCAGAAGGTGTACGTGGAGGTGCTCTTCTTCTTTGGGCACAGTTTGAGGATCTACCCGAGAGGGACAAAAACATGCACTGACTGGGGGGCTCCAGTGAATGTGCATCTGCACCCTTGCATGAACTCTCAGGGACACGTGTGAACACACAAGTCAGCACTCAAAGGTAAACACACGTACGTGTATACATAGGCACTTCGGATACATTTACAGACTTGCATATGTGCACATAGGGGTATACAGTGTGTTCTTCATGGCCCAAAGCCACCCGTGGCAATCGCCTCTGCACTGAGGAACCAGTCTCCATTTCCTACGCTGGCCTGCAAGCCACACCAGATCTGGCCCCTGCCTTACTCTAGATTTTTGCTGCAGCCAAAACTGTCCTCCTTTCTGCAGCTTGAAAAAGGCCAGCTCCGTCCCACCACAGGCCCTTTGCACACACGGGTCCCTTTCCACAGCCATCCCTGCAGCTTTTTGCATGGCTAGACTACTCTCATGACTTTGATCTTAACTCAAACACTCCTTCCTTAGCGATGCCTTCCTACACTGCCTCACCTAAAAAAAGGCAAATCAAAAGCAGAACAAGCCACTCTGTCTTACCACTGTTTCACTGTCTTCATGGCAAGATTATCTTGTCCACTTGTTTTCTTAATTACTTGTTAGCTCCCACCCCTACTAAAATGAACACTCAGTGAGCCAATTGCTCAGTATCTAAATTCATTCAGCTCCTGTGAGCCACACTCTGGGGATAGAAGATGATCTGGGGATAGAGCCGCATTCTGGGAAAAAGTGCTCATGCAAAGGGGGAGTAAGACAGTCAATCCCTCAATCAATGGAGCACAACAGCAAAAAGGAAAGTAAGAAAGGGATGCCGAAGTTAATTTCAGACACTGGCAAGTATTTCAAAGGAAAAGAAACAGGGTAAGGAGCAGAAGGTGACTGGCAAGCCACCTTACCTTGTGGGCAGAAGGGCTTCCCTGGGAGGCAGCTTTGGAATTGAGGCTTGCATGAAGCACAGAAGTTGCCAGGCCAAAGCCCAGGGGAGTTTTTAGGTGAAGGAGTTGCCAGAAAAAGGACCAAGAGATGAGAGACGTTTGGGGGTCAGAGCGCTAGAGCTGCCCCAGGAGTGTACAGGGAAAGAGGTTGAGGACCTGGGCTCCCCAAGGGAGAGTCTGCATTTCCTTCTGCACCGGAGTCGAGGGTGCCCTCTCTGAGGGCTGCACCCTTACTCTGTGGGAGGAGGATCCTACTGGCTGACACTGGCCAGGTGCTGGGGGTCAGACCTGAATAGGCCAGGAGGTAGCGAGAGGGGTTGGGTCGGGCCATTCTAGAGGCTGTGGTGTCCGCGTGGCTCATTCATTGATAAGAGGATGGGGGCAACACCAGGGGAAGACAAACCTTGTTCCAGTCTTGTTCACCCCTGTTTCTGGGAGCTTACACCAATGCCTGACACATAGTTGAGGCAGTGGATACCCATTTTCAAAGAGCAAACACAGGTACCCTACAGATGTGACCCCCCCCCACAATTCCAGACTCTTCTGCCCCGCCCAAGATCCAAGAAGATCCACCAGCCCTCCCAAGACTGGGACGCCCCTGGCCCAGATTTCCTGTAACTTGGAGAGGTAGAAGGTCTGGGATCTAGTGCATTTCCATCGGGAAGTTTAACCATGAACAAATCATTTAAAGTCTCTGTGCCTCGGCTTCATGACTTACAGAGCAGGAATCTGCCTGAACTGCCTCACACCCACCATGGACAAGTGCTCTGAAAAAACTGACCTAGCTGCTGTGCAGACAGCACTGTGTCCCGAAGCTCAGAGGGCCGCTTTCTGCCTCCTTCAGCACTTTCACGCTTCAGGTCGCCTGGCCCCGCCCCCTCCCGAGTAGGCGGGGCCTCTGGGCAGCCCCTGACTCCGCTCAGTCCACCCCAGACCGGAAGGCCCCGCTGCTCACCACCAGCAGGTCGTTGAAGAGGAACACTTCCCTCTGATGTGCCGCCTGCTTCTGCAGCTTGTTCACATCCGTCACCTCGAAGAGCCGGCTGCAGCACACCAGGCGGCGGTGTGGCACCGACAGCACCTGGAACCCAGGCGAGGTGCTCAGAGACCTCCAGGCCTCAGCCTTACCCCAGGGCACCCATTTTCCAGAAGAGGATACGGAGTCCCAGGCAGAGGAGTGGGGGCCCTAACAGGGATCGCACTTGGTCATAAATCTCCTCTCACTCATCTGGGCTCTCGCTTTTCTACGGAGCAGAGACAGAAGAGAAGTGGTCCTTATGCTGGAGTGAATGAGGAGATTAAGGGGTGGGAAAAGGAGATCGAAAGGGGCGTTCAGACTGGTCAAATCCAGGCACTGTTAGCCTCTTCCCCCTATGACCCCCAGCTCCCAGGCGACAGTCTGCAGGTGTGACACCTGAGCTGGCGTTACTGTGCACTAAATGCAAATGTGCAAGAGGGAGGGGAGTACACGGGCACTGACACTGCAAATCTACTCCAGTGCGTGAGGGAAGCAAATCATTTGCAAACCAGACAGGGGCCAGAACCACAGCCGTAAAGGACGAAGAGCAGAAGATGCTCGCCTTGTATTGGTTGGGAGAAGAAGGCCAGGCAAAGCCTCAGACCAGGTCCCCAGCTCTCCACCTAATCCCTGAGCCACTCAGCAGGGGGACAGGAAGCTTCTCTGTATCCTTCACATCCATGGTAAACATCACCTCTGGGGATATGAGTAGTGCGGTGACCTACAGAGGGGCTGGCTTTAAAAATCATTGCATACTTAGAACATGTTGCCTCTGACACAGGTCACAACAGTGACCTGCTTGGTTTGAGATACCACAGACTACTTGAGCCCATTTCCTGCTCTCTGTTCCCTGGAACCACCCAGCAGAGCCTGGTATCTGTGCCACTTAAGAAGCAGATCCTAAACCTTCCACCTGGCCATCCAGATGCTTCAACCCTGGACCACTGGGCAGCTCCCCTCATTCCCTCCACTGTAGCAGCTGGTGCAATGGCAGTGAGGAAATTAGGCAAGGGAAAAGACAGGAGGAGTGTCTGGAGCACAATAGTTGTAGATTTTGGAAAGTAAGGATGAGACTAGAAGGAGATGCTAGGAAGAAGGAAAGGAAAGGGAACAGGAGATAGAGGTGGCTTGGCAACCATGGGAGAGGAAGCTGACCCTCACATGGCAAGTACTGCTCTGCGGTGGACACTTACTGTCTTCATGCCCACAATGGACTTTTCCACCTTGGTGACATATGTGACGTGGTCCTCATTGGACCTGAGTTCCTTCTGCTGTATCCGTTCATAGATGCCTACCACCAGCTCCCTGGGGATGTCAGCACCATCATCCACACCTACAAACACAGAGGGAGGAGAGGTGTCTGTGTGTGAAAGGTCAGAGCAACAAGACTATCAGACTGATGCTCTGGGAGGGTAGCTTCAATTCTGCCAAGTCCTTGATCCAAAGCTCTCAGGAGCCGGTTTCTCATACCCATTAAAGTAAGGACAGACTCCTTAGCCAGGCTCCTACGCATCTCCAGCCTCATCAGCTGATGTATCTCAACAAGAACCTCCCATTCACAGTACTCTTTCCTGATAGCCAAACATAGCCTCCATGCTTTGCAAGTATCCTTGCTTCCCCGTTCCTGTTGTCTGTTGTGTTTGTCCTGACTTGTCCTGGCCACACATGTGAGGAGCTTTCCAGCGGTCTGTCTTATTTTTTTGGGGATCTCCCTTTCTTGGCCTTCAACTCCCCTCCAGTAGGGAGTTCTTTTTTGAGTGAGTCCTTGTGGAATGGGTGATAAGATTTTCCTCTCACTAGGAATGCTGAGGTGGGGGGTTGTTACAGGAAGCAAAGAGGAGCAGTTTGGGGCTGGGTGACGCACGTAACCAGCACTCCACTCCGTCCCTACTCCCTAGAATGTTACTGCTGCAGCAGCCAAACAGTGCTCGCGGGAAATACGCCAACATGAACACAAATTTCCTTTGCTGCAGAAACAGAGGCAATTAAAACAATTCTTCTTTCTGCTTTTTCCAAATCTTCTTTAGATGCCTACATGCTTCTTTTATAAGAGGGAAAATTTTAAAATATAACCACTTTGATAGTTTTCTCAACCTCCAAGAGGACATCATGTCTTTGATGAGGAATTCCCCTCTTGTCCCTGCTTCTTCCACTTGTTATCTTGGTTTTTAGTCAGCCTCGTTGTACCCAAGGGCCTGAAAGAAATCAGGCTACAGGCAAGAAAGAGCAAGAAGAAAGATGGACCACACACAGGTTTCCAGTTCACTAGTTTGCCTCTGCTCTTTCAGAATACTTGGTGAAAAGGAATTTTTCCAAAAGGCATAAACCCACAAAGACAGAGAACAGAGGAAGGGACAGAGCACCTGGGGCCTGGCAAGTGTGTGATTGGATATCTTAGCGAACCTTAGAAAGCTGAACTGTAAGCCACAGAGAGCTTAGAAGCCACTGGACACTCCGCAGGACCACCAAAGGGCTCAGAACTGGGAGCAGTAGGAGCCCCCGAGCACAGGTGAGTGGGCTGGAGATAGGAAAACAGGCTGGAAATCAATGGACATCATTTAGATTTACCTGTTCCCTCCTCTCTGCAGAGGAAGACTGGAGGTTCATCTTCTGGAACTATGAGCTTGGGGTTGGGGAACCCCAGTCCTAGCCAATAGTGGGAATCTGCACTGAAAATGGAGGATGAGGTTCATGTTCATATGAGAGGCAACTCAGCCCTTTTCTTAAAAAGATCTCAGCACAGTGGTAGCCAGAATTGTACCCTCTGGGCAACAGAGCAGACTTTTGTACTTGCTGGGTAGTCAATCATCACAAGAGAAAATATCTAAAGATACTACAGTAGGGGTCACCCCCCATGACACAGCTCAATTAAGTCACCCTGAAGAAAGGTCACCAATAGCAGTCCTCACCCATGTTGACTGAGGTTTTGATCTTTTTTTCAGTGGCTGCTGAATATGGAAAGCCTGTAACACAAAAGCGAAAGAAATAGGGGGAAAACAGGAAAAAGAAATCCAGAAAAAATGGAAGCAAGCAGGTAGGAACTAAAACAAGAATATATTATATCTTCAAAACGATAGAAGATATCACATCTACTAAACAAGAATAGAGTGCTATAAAAGGACATTCGGAGAACAAAAACCAGCTATTAGAAATGAAAAATAAGTTTTAAAAAGAGAGCAGGAATGAAAAACTTAGTAAGATGCTTGAAAGATAAGACTGAGGGACATACAGTGGCACCTCAGTGCATGAACTTAATTATTTCCACAATTCTGGTTGCAAGCCGAATTGGAGGAGAACTGAATCAAATTCAGTGGTTAGGTTCAATGTTGGCCTTATGGGGAAATTTTATTTGGCTGCCACCCAATTCGGTTGTGACTAGAATAAAGGAAAGAATTAAGTTTGTGAACCGAGGCACCACTATATTCCATAAAGCCAACTGAGGAAACAGTGAGGATATATACAGAACTGTAAAAATCAGAAGATCCAGTAGGAGATCTAACATCTGAATAATAGGATTTCAAGAAAGAGTACAGAGAATGTGGAGAAAATAAATTCAATAGAGAAGGCATCTGTATCCGTGAGCTCTGCATCTGAGGGTTTACAAAACCACCAATTGAAAAATTTTTTTTAAATTGCATTAGTTATGAATATGTACAGATTTTTTTCTTGTCACTACTCCCTAAGCAACAATTCACATAGAATTCACATTGTATTAAGTACTCTAAGGCATCTGGAGAGTACACAGGAAGAAGTGCACAGGTTAAGTGCAAATCCTACACAGTTTTGTATATATAAAGAGTTTGAGTATTGGGGAGAGTCCTGCCATCAGTCTCCCGAGGAACAATTATATTTAATAAAACTTCACACAATTAGAGGACATGTGTTTCTAGAGTGAAAGGACCAACCCACTATTAAGCACAACAAATGAGAAAAGATCCATAAGCAGGCACATCATGTGGAAAACTCAGAGCACAAAAGCAAACAGAAGAACCTACAAGTTTTCAAAGAGAGAAAACATAACACATACAAAGGCCAGAAATCAGAATGGCGGAGCAACTTTGTTGGCTAAAATGTGAACAATGCCTTCCACATCTGACTTACATGTTTTCAACCTGAAACTCTGTTCCTAGCAAATTTCCCAGTCAAGGGTGAAGACAGGAAAAAGATACATTCACAAATGTAAGAATGACAAATGTAAAAATTACAAATGTAATTTTTGTGTCTAATGCGCCTTTTCTGTGGAAGTCAACTAACAAGGAAGCTGTGGCATCCGGAGACCAGCACTGCAGCAGGGGGAGCAAGGTCAGGACAGCTCCGGAGGGAGCAGAGCTGAGGATCCAGGAGAGGCAGCTCTAAGACGAGACTCCTGGGTACCTCCCAGGTCCTCATGGATGGACAGGAACTTGATACACAGGGGAAAGAGGGTGATGGACCGGTGGCGGGACATAGAGGGAAAAGAAGACAAGTAGTGACTCCAACGAAAGCAGAACTAAAAAGGAATTGTAACCACTGCCTTCTTCCGTGCAGCTTTGGGTCACGTTTACTTGGCCTTCATAACAAGAACACTAGTTTCAGTGGGGATGGGTTGGGGAAGGTGGACAAAGAAGAGCTAAACTGTTATAGTCTATAATGGGAAATTAAAAGATAACACATAATTTCAAAGAATTAACAAGTAGTCGTGTATAAGAGAGAGCAGTGGATATGTACTGTATACCTCCATCTGTATAATGTCCAAGGACTGGCAAAACTGCTTAATGGTGCCAGAAGGCAGAATAATGTAAGCCTAAGCAAGGGTATCAGAGGGGATGGGATGCACAGAGCATTCTGGGATGGTGGAAATGATCAGCCTGTAGGTACAGGTGTGATCACACAGGCATCTCCACAATGCACAGCATAAAGGAAGCAAGAGCATGTTATTTATGGATTTAGAGGAAGCAAAATAAGCAGCTAACAGGTGCGGAAGGTTACTTTAGTGGTAGGATATTTGCCTAGCATGTGTGAAGCTCTGGATAAGCACCCCTAACACTGCAAAAGTAAATAAATATAAAAACAAACAAATCTGGAAGTCGAAAGTATTTGCCCTTGAGAAGGGAGAGTGGTGAGAGAGGCAGGGACCCATGTTTCTGTGATGAGCCTGGTGGAATTATTCTATTAGATTATGTGCATATATAACTTTGATTTTTAAAAAATGCCCACAGGATATCACTAGCACACAAAACACTTGCTTTTTCAAAAAACGTTGGTCCCTGTCAGGTGGTGCCATCAGAAAAGGACTTGGCTGGCAGATGCCATAAAGTTACCTGAAAGGCTGAATGAAATGGGCTGAGGCCTAAAGTCCCTGCTCCTGGTTCTTCCGTTGTAAGTAGTGAAGTGAAAGAACTGGTACTGACCTGAACAATGACCAAGCCCCTCCTGTCCCAGCCCCACCTGCTCACCTCGCAGGTTTCGGATAAAATCCTCAAGCATCATCTTCCGGTCCGGCTTAATGTTGGGACTGTACATGTCGGTGTTGAGGAGGATGATGGCGAAGGCCAGGATGAAGATGGTATCGGGGTTGTGGAACTGCTGCACCACCTCGGGGTTGCACATGCAGTAGCGCTGGCTGTGGAGGACACAGAGGGAGCCATGGGCTTCTCAGACTCCAGCACTGTCTGCCCTGTAGCTTGGTGTCACCTCCCTCGATTCCTGTGGTGGCACCCACTGCCAGCCTCACACGGATGCTGCACACAGGTGTGCTGGTCAGGGGGCAACAAGGAGGGGCATCTCCCGGAGGGCCCTGTGTGGCTTCCAGCTGGGAGAGCTTGGGGGATTCCATTCCTCTCTTTCTTTGCCCCTTTCTCTCCAGCCCACTGCTCCCAGACTTCCCCCCAGTCCCCTCAACTGGCCCCAGCAATTCTCACCTAGGTCACACCCCCACCCCCACCATCTCCCCCAAGCTCTGGAGGGGTGGGGAGGGGAGCAGGGCTCGGAAAGGGTCTCACCTGAAGGCCTCTATGAGCCGCTCCACCTTCTGGGCCTCCCCCTGCACTCGGATGTGCGCCTGGAACTTCCGCAGGGCCTCGTCCAGCTCCATGTTGGAGAAGTCCATCTCGTCTACCACACAGCTGAGGGCAGGCCAGGGAAGGGTCGTGAGGAGAGGCCAGCCCCTCAACTCTGCTTGGGTTGAGGAGTGAGGGGTGGGGTGGTGGAGACTTGGACTCTGGATAGCCAAGAGGGGGTAGGGAGGGTCTACTAGCTCTGTTCACACCTCAGGGTCCCCCTGACTAACCAGGAAGACAGCTTTTCCAGTTTTCTCCTATTTTCTCTTCTCTAATGTGACAGTCCTGTGAGGCACAGACTGTTTTCTCCCTTTCACAGCCAAAGGCTTGCGGTTCAGAACTGTTAGCTGAGGCCGGAGACCAGGGAAGGCTGAGCTCAGGCCTTCCTACTCCACATCCCAAGTTCTTTCTCTTCAGAGTCAAAGAAAGCTTTAAAATGGAATGAATGCACAGTGTGGCCATGCTCACCTCTAGTCCCAGCTAATCAGGAGGCAGAGGCAGAAGGATCAATTGAACCCAGGGATTTTGGAGCCTATTTTTCTCCTTAGTTTGATTGTCATTTCCCATTAAAGTCTCCAGGTGACTGACGTCTCCTCAGTTGTCCCTCTATCCTAGTGGACTGGGAAAGTCCCAAAGGCCGTCTGAAACCCAACCTTCAATCATGGCCCAGCACCTCCCTCACCAGCCCTTTTGGGGAGGCTGGAGCCTCTGAAGAGAAAATGGCATATCTGGTTTAACATGGGAGGGGACAGTGTGACATATTCTTGTCCGGGCAATCCTGCTAAACTTTCACTTTGGCTCCTGGACTCCCCTTTCGGAGCCTCAGTTTGTTCTGAAAAGGGAGGAGGTTGGAGTCCCTGTTCCCGAAGAGCTCTTCTACCCCTGAAAGGACAACTCTACCCTCACGAGATCTGCTCTGAGTGCTCCTCTGTAGTGGAGAGGAGGAGGAGGAAGGCACGAGGGCCCCTGCCACTTCCCCACAGCAGAGCTGCAGGCCTCATGTCGCTGAGGAGAGCACAGAGCAGTGTGGCTTGCAGTGCTGGCAGGCTCTCAGCGCCGACTTCTCTCCTCTGTGCCCCACACCCCATGCAGCTGGCCCCTCGCCACCTACTTACACCGCTCTTCCCCTCTGCCCCTACAGTTCCCTGGCAGACTCTGATGCAGCCTCCTGGGCACTACTCACCTGCTCACATCTGCTGTGCCCTCCACAGTGTAACCACTGCAAGCCCAGTGTGGCCCAGAGCCCAGTGCTGCCATCCATGATGGCTCAGAAGTCACCTGCAGAGTGGCCACGTGTGGGGGGAAGCATGTGCTGAGCAGGACCCAGTTCCTCCATGATCCCAGAGACCCAACTGTTTCATCAACTGTCAGGAGAGAGCATGGGGTGGCCAGGCGCGCAGGGGTCTGTGGGCTTTGCCTCCCCCGTCTTTTTCTGGGGCAACTAGAGAGCATCACCAAGGAATTCCAGCTAGAGAGGGAAGGCAGAGAGGGAGCTGCCACCCTTCCCCTTTCTTCCTCCCTATCCAAGGGCAAGACCACAATCATCTGAGCCACAAGCTTTCCCCCCATTGGGGTCAGTTGAGCCCTGCCCTTCTGCTCATCTGCCTGAACAGGAGTGGGTGGGAGGACGGGCTGTGAGGTGGAGGCAGGAGTCTTGCCGAAGTGTGAGAACTGACAATATCCACGTCTGCGTGTCAAGATGGAGACTGCTGGCAGAGCCCAGGCCCGCCAGGTGAGAGGCCACACTGATTTCTCAGTGGCCTTGTTATCCCCACCCTGCACTTGCCCCGGCTGGAATATGAGATCCAAGGTGGCACTACAGGGCCCACATGTGCAGGTCCCCAAAGCCCAGTCAAGGGAGAGCACTGTGCATGGCTGAGCAACCCAGGGAGCTGCCTGGGGGAGGGATCCAGTGGGCCACATGGCACAGGGCTCGGAGCCAGGGCCAGGGGTCGGGGGTGTGCAGACAGAGAGCAAGATGAAGAGACAAAGCTGAAAAGAAACAGAAGGAAAGAGAAAGCTTGAAAGAGGAGACCAACCAAAAAGAGGGGAGAAGAAACAGAGGGACAGGGGCAAGGGAGACAAGGACAAGGGGAGGCAGGGAAGACAGGGGAGAGGGGGAAGGGAGGAGCCAAGAAGCGACAGAGAAAGATGCAGTGATAGGTAAGGAGGACCATAAATGGAGTGGAGGGCTGCCATCTGCCCTGGGGGCCCCTTTCCTGAGGCCGAGGAGGAGGCACTGGCCCAGCTGCCCCGTGCTGACTGAGTAGCCTGACCTCTCAAAGGACCTGCAACGGCCGGCGGCCTGGCACCCAGCTGCTCTCCAGGACTGGGCCCCATCCAGATGTCTGCCCCACCACTCAGTCTCTGTCCTCCCCCTGAGGCCCTGAACTGAGGTCCTGCCTGGTGCCTGCTTCCTTCCCAGAGCCTCTCACATTCACTCTCTGGATAGTCCCTGATCAGAGATGGAGTGGGTGCGAGGCCTGGGCACCAGGGCGGGGGGAGTGGCACAAGGAGGCAGCATTCAGGAAGGATGGGATCTGCTCAACCAAGCACCATGGCCTAGTTTCCAGCCCTCTGCTACCCAGGTGACGTGCAGGAGGCTCGCATCCTTGTGCTCAGGGCTGCAGCTAAAGGCTCCAGGAAGGGCAGGGCCCGAGACCAAGGTCTGGCTGGGAGGAGCAGCCAGGTAGAAACACAAGCTCGAAGAACAGGAAGCGCTGGACGAACTCATGCTGGCCATGGGATGGGGACCCCAGGGAGGACATCTGGGCTGTGGAGCTGGTGCAGGCTCTAGTCCAGAGCCTTCCAGCAAGAGTTCTGCGGACCTTGCATAAGAGTTGCAGTTTGCTAAAATGTAGGTCCCTGGACCCCACCCCAGATCCAGGGAATTAGAACATCTGGAGGCAAAGCTGGGGGATCAGCATTCTTTACCAGCTGTCCAGGAGACGCTTAGAATGCAAAACCAGTGGCTGAGGGAGGAGGGAGCTTGGCCACTGGATGCTTTGAAAAGGTGAATCCCATACTCCTGGGCACCTAGGGCAGTAGCCTTTAGAGTACATGTGTCCTCATCTGGCTATTGGAGCCACTTTGTGGAAGGGGCACAGAGAGGGACACAAGGAGGTATGACACATACAGCCCCTCCCCTTCCCTGACTTCTTCCATGCAAAGACACCATGAATGTTAGTGGCTGACAGCGGGAGCAGACCTGAGTCTCTCAGATCCTGGGGGAAAACTCAACATTTCTTAGGGTTTTTTTTTTCTTCCCCCCATGGGAGGAAAGAGGCTGTGCTGAGCAGTGCAAAGGCCCTGGGCTCCTCCACGGAGCCAGCCATGCCTCCCGTGGAACTGGGGGTCACACTAGATGACCTCCCAGGACCCTGACTTTGAAGTTCTCTCCTTAGGGCCTGGGAGCTGGGAGAGACTGCAGCCAAACCCTAAAGGTACTGTGGACTGACTACACAGAGCCTCCCTGCTCAGAAGTGCATCTCACCACAACCCACGACGGCTGCACCTTCTCCACACACCTTCCAGGGGGCCATGGTGTGTCTTCCTGGGGAAGGCGACTGGGAGGAGGACTGTCCTCTCTCTTGGCAAGCCTGCTTGGGTGTCCTGTCACCTGCATAGTCTCTGTCAGCTTGGAAGCACCCACCACCCATGTGTCTCACAGCATGACTATTTTACCCTCCCTCAGGATAAGGTCCAGTCAGCACCTTGACATCTGCTCTTCTCTGCTCTGTTCTTCCTCATTCCTGTAGTTTCTTTTATTCTGCAGAATCTAGTAGCACTCCCCCTTTCACCTCTTTGCCACCATGCAGTCCCTGGGGGGAACAGGGAGTTTACCATACTGCTGCTGCCTGACCCAGGGCTACCCATGTCACCTCTCCTTGATGATCATTGCCTGTTTCCAGTAAGTTGCATAATCAGTAAGTGGTATAACTAGTAAGTTGCATAATCTGCCTCCTTCACAGAAAGCAAAACTGAGAGCACACAGGGGCTTCCTTAACAGTCCCACAGCAAGGAAGAGCAGACTTTGGAGGTCCAAGTTGTGGAAAGCCTCCTCCCTAGCTGAGCCCTCCCTACTGCAGCCTGGGGTGGGTGCTCAGGGTGGTGGGAATCTGAACACCAACTCTGGTTTGCTGAGTATTGTTCTCAGTGCTTCACTGAGTATGCTGTAAGATAACTGTCCCCAACCCCAACAATGTTAACCGTTACCCATCATTTTATTACACAGGTGGAAACTCAGAGCTATAGGCTAGGTTGGCCCCCATCTCCTGCTCTTTACAGCTCTCTGTTGCTCACTGGGGACTGCTACCTTCCCTAGATGGCTGGCGGTAGACTGGGAGGATGTTGGGGAATGTCTGGGCATGTCACAGATGTGCCATATGTCACTTGGGTGTGTCAGGAGCTACCCGCCTGTTGGAAATCAGCAAGAAGCCTGTAGTCACCTTGCCGTTCAGAACTGCCCTGGGTAGCCAGCTCAGAGCAGGGCCCACATGCCTGACCTCCTACCTTCCTCTTCTATAGCTTTCTCTGACCACCAGCAGCGGCTGGCTGCTTGGTTTGCTTTCAACAAACATGCCCCACGAGGCTTCTGCGGGCAAGGCAGGGCTAGGGACCTGTGGTAAGTAACAAACTGTGCAAGCTCAGTCTCAGTCCTGGGGAGAGACAGACATTAACTGCAGAGTCAAAAGTAGATCTTTATAATTCTTTAAACGTCTATATAGAGAAAGGCCAGGGTTCCTTGAGAGGACAAAGGACATGCATTTTATGTTGCCATGTCCATAAAAGCCTCTCTGAGGATGTGACGTTTCTGCTGATATCTCAAGGATGAGATATCAACCATGAAGAGTGAGGGAAAGCTCTCGGATGTGCCAGAGTAGGGGAGAGCCATAGGCAAAGGCCCCATGGCAGGGAAGAATGTCTAAGGACCTTGAAAGGGTCAGTGAGGTTGCACTGCAGACTCAGGGAGAATGGGTGGGCAGGCTAGGAGGTGGGCAGAGACCTGCCCAAGCCATAGGGGTTATGAGGACTGTAGAGTTGGTCCTGAATGCAGTGGGATACAG